TGCCTCCCGAGTGCTGGGATTAAAGGCGTGTGCCACCACCGCCTGGCTAGATTTTATTTTTTTGCAAATCCCTATGGAGAGCATGGACCCTTTCTTGTGTTGTTTTCAGCCAAGGCAAGCACTTTGTTCATTGGGGTGAAATGGATATGAAATGCTCTCACCAACAGAGAAATGCTCAGCTTTCCATCCATTGGCCATTCTCACATGTAAATTTGCCCCATCTACTCCCTGCTTCTGAAACTCTGGTGAGTGAGAGCCCTGGAAGGCCGGAGTGGGTTTAAGTAACAGCATCCTTTATTCCTCCAATCTCTGCTAACATTGTGAATAGCCAGCCAGACCAAACAGAAATAAATACATCTATCTGGATTAATGCTTCGGTCATTCTTCTATCTAAAGATTCATTTAATGACTTCCTGCTGAGTGAGTCTATGAGAAGCCGAGAAGCTAACTACAAATGCTAAAGTGCCTTCTGCTCTCCCAGAACATCTCTGTGAAGCACAGGGACCTTGGTTCAAGAAGGCTAGGAGTAGAATGCTCATTGAGATAACCACTGGAAGTTAAATATAATACCATGTCTTAATAGAAAGCTCCACATATTTTATGCCTTATACATAAGTTAATAATTCCTATTTTGCTATACACTGATGAAAAAAAAAGCCTTGTAAGTGGTTTGATAATCAACAGATATTCCAAAGAAGCTAGTATCCTAGATACGAGGTCTCTTGATGGTCTTAATTCAGAAAGGAGACTCATGCTCAAAAATGTTCATTTTGATAGCCAAATGAAAGCAGCTATCAATAACCTACATTAAAGAAATTGCTAGAGGTTTGAATATTACCGACTTACTGATACTGCTTGTGAAGACTGTGAAACATCTTTGATAAAATCGTTGTTGAGAAGGCCTCTATAAAACTGTATATGTAGATGATGATTAAGATTTCTAAAAGTGAAGTATAGCATGCATAGAAAAAGCTAGTCTTGAGCAAACACAGAAGTGTGGGCAATAGTTACACGAGGGAGTGGGAGATTGCTTATGTGCACCTACGCCGTCTAATTCCCTGTAATATCCATCTGCTGTTTTTAATGGGGAAATACTAAGAATGGAGGAGGGGCACACCCGGCGGAAACAAAACAAGCAAGAATCCTCTCAGGGGATCCTCTTAGGTGACTTTTCACACTTTAAGAATCAATGATCTCTTCAGCCCAAGTCCTGGTGAACCCAAGAGGAAGTCACCGCCATGGTGGACCTTTTTGACGCGTGAGAAAGGAGAAGTTGCCCGAGGGCATTTTAGAGGATGGCCTGATGGGAGTCTGGGTAGAACCTTTTAACAATATGTCGAGATCATCATACAATGCAGGAAAGAGGAAAGCAGAAAATAACAGCGAGGCAGGTGTAATATCAGGGCCAGGATCGCCGTCATGGGAGATGTACAGAACAAAGATGGGGAACTTCAAGGGACAAAGAAGGTAAGCAAACACATCAACACTCAATGCCAGCACGAGGCTCTAAGGTGAAGAAAGTGCAGGCACCCTCACAGAAGAACACATGATCCTTTACAACCCTCTTCACGTCCAAAGTCCTCCACACACTTTGGTCCCTGATGTCCGCCCTGGAGGGTGACAATGAGTCATCGGCCCAGGAACCTGAAAAGTTCTCCTTCAGAGGTCAATAGTGTTCTGTGAGCCTCCCAATCCAGATGACTGATTTCACCTGTGAAAACAAGAAGATGGTGAACTCAGAATAAGTTTCACGGCTCCACTCTCTGGCAGCATAGGCGTTTCAAAATGGGCTGGGGAGAGGTGTGAGCAGGCCACCACAACCAAGAGGTTGGCTTTGCAACACTAGTTGTGTTTGTCTGGGGGTCTAACCCTGTGAGCTATGTGAGGTTCACTGAGCAAGATCCAAGTCATCCCCTCTAGGTGAAGTCTCAGAGAACCAATAAGGACGTTATTAGCTTAGCTTTTGCTCCATTAACCCAAAAAGATAGAATAGGCAAGTTGAAAACTAGAACATTTATTCAGTTTTCAAATGACATGCAAAGGATCATCAAAAGCTTGCTTTCTTTTTCAAGAAGAAAGGGAAATGATGTATCCAGGAGCCCATTCTTTGGAAAACAGGCTAGCCCCAAGGACCTTCCTCCTTCCCCGCTCCACTCCCCACCCCCATGAGAGAGGATGCCTACTTGAGTCTTGCTCTGGAGTCTTCTAGCCATAGTGTGGGAGAACAAAAAAAACAAAAAACAAAAAACAGGCACAAGGGGATGGACCAAAGACTGGCCTAGGGTGAAGAAAGAAGTGTCAGACACCTGTCTGCCTGCCCAACCCTGACCTGTCCCAACTCTCACCCTGAGGCTGACTTTCTCTGCCCTGTTCATATTTTCCCAGGGAAAGGTAAGGAATCCTGAGCCCTCTAGATAAAGAAGCACTGAGAGACTTGTCTGAGCCACTTAGGACTGACACTCAATCAAACTCTTTCTTTTTATTTATTTATTTATTAAAGATTTCTGCCTCCTCCCCGCCACCGCCTCCCATTTTCCTCCCCCTCCCCCAATCAAGTCCCCCTCCCTTGTCAGCCCGAAGAGCAATCAGGGTTCCCTGCCTGTGGGAAGTCCAAGGACCATAGCGGTCAATGAGGACTACTGAGAACTCAAGTCAAACTCTTTCTTAAGGGTATGAATATCAAGAAAGAACTTACCTAGAAGTAAAAAGAATACAAAGATGGCATTTGACAAATTCATTGTTTCAAAAGATGTCACCAGGTGAAAGTCATGGGATATATGTTTCCTTTTCTGCCTGTGTGAGTATATGCATTAGTGTTTGTTATTCTGTGTGTGTATGTTAATGCCTGTTAGTATGTGTATTCATATGTTAGTATGTTTGTCAGTGTATGTTAGTGTGTTATTGTGTGTGTTAGTATATGCTAGTGTATTAGTATATGTATTAGTGTGTGTTCACGTATATTGGTGTGTTTCAGTATGTGTATCAGTGCACAGGCTGCACACACCAGCACATGGTGCACACATACAAGAGTAAGTGTCACACCCTTAAAGGTCATTTTTATCCACCCTTTCATTACTTCTGATCATATTAACAAAGGCCAAAGCTAAGTGCAGGGTAGATGGGTGGGAGGCCAGTCTGTTTGCCCATCTCACAGCCAAAGCGCTGAAAGGCAGGCTGAGATCAGAGCTTTCTGGGTGGGTGTACTAGTACGGATTTGAACTTTTGGTGATTATTTCAACTCTTTAATCACATTTAGATTTATTTTATCATTTGAATTGTTTTGTTTGCTCCTTCCTGTTTTTTTTCAGTTCATACATTAAGAAAAAACTGTTTCAAAATCCGAAGTGTAGTGTAGTGATATTTCATTTGTATTTTAATAAATAAAACTTGCCTTTTGATCAGAGAGTAAAACAACCCTATTGGTCAATCTTACAGACCAGGCAGTGGTGACACACAGCCTTAATCCCAGTAGCCACACTAGTTTACCACAGAAACCGGGTGGTAGTGGTGCACACTTTTAATCCCAACTCTAGAGAGGAATATAAAACGGGAGGCGATAGCTCTCAGAAACAGTCTCATTCTGAGATTCCTGGAGAAAGGATTGCCATTTCAAACTGAGGTGGAGGTAAGAGCCAAGGGCTGGCTATTTTTGCTTTTCTGAGCTTCAGGTTGAACCCCAATATCTGTCTCTGGGTTTTTATTAATCGTGCTACAGTGCAGTGTATTTTAAACTTCAACTTTTTAAATTAAACATCATTGTGAAGGTGTCAAAATGGGTTCCCCCTGAGTACTCAAGGCCTGAATTCTTCAGCACATTCAGGAAATGGCACTCAGCTTTCAGATCCTATCAGGTGTGAATCTTCCATACTGGAGGTCTGTAGATATGAGCTGTGACTGCCAGGACTCCAGGAACACAGATGAATGGCCAAAGACACAGGATTTCCCTGCAGCATGACCTCTCTGCAGAGGGGAACCCTATAGTTCAAGTACTTACTGCACGTAAGTAAGGGTCAGGGCAAAGGGCGGCACAGGAGACCTGTGTCAAAGAATAGGACGAGGGATGAGCTCGAAGGACCAGTGTGAGGGGCACAATAAGGGGCCAGTACAAGGGGTCAGTGTGAGGGCTCCACATGAGGGTGCCAATGCTAGACATGAACGCGAGAGGCCAGCATTAGGGGCCAGGGTAAGATGTCAGCGCAAGGGGCTAGCACATCGCAATTCTGACCCTTCTGCCACACTCTGTCAATACTAACGGAGCAGGCAACTCCTCGCTGTGTCTCTATTCCTTACAGTTTACCTGTAGACTAATGGAACAGCCATAATTGTGTTCCTCTCTCCCCTCCTCCCTATGCTCCTAAAATGTTCAACATTTGGCCTCAGGATGTGGACCGGTTCTGGGAAAACATGATTAAAGCAAATGGCGAGAGGCTGGAGCGAAGCCTTGAGTTCAATTTTGCCAGTGGATTGAGTTCCACGTCACTGTGCAAATGAGCTGTTGTCACAACCATCCCATGCCTCACTGGAACCATTTTCATTGGCAAAAAGGTGATCAGCCTACCTACACCACAGTAATAGACATAAGAAACTGTGAGAATAAGGAACATTTTTTTCCACAAAAATTCCTACGATAAAGCATTAAGGAAGAAAAAAATAGCAAATATTAGGTCAGTATGACCTCATTCCAATATGTGAAAATGGCTACAGGGCTGGCAAGTGTTACACAGACCCTGTAGGCTATCTGTGCCCTAGAGCCACACTCCAGGAGGGTCCTGAGGAGGAACTTCCACATCTTTGTCTCTAGACTACAACTTATTTGGTTTGTTTTGTACAGTGCTTTATTGTCAAAGCTGATAACATATGAAAATAAAACAAGTGGGAAAACCACCACAATTTGAAAACTATCCTTAAAACACCGACATTTTTAGAGCAAAGAAGAAAGACGTTAGCCAACTCACCTTGTCATGCCTTGATTTCTCCTCACGAACGTTCCTTCATGCAGCTTATTTGATTTTGCTAGCAATCTCTTTCAGGAGACCTTTGAGATCGTTAAGCTTGGGAAGGGAGAGACATGGAACTCAGTCTTTGGACAAATTTCCAACATTCCATTTGAAATGACAAGTCCGTTAACCAGTAAAGAAAACCCGGGGAAGGCAGGTGGACCCTGCCTATTGCTAACGTATGGTCAGCGGTTACCAGACAAACCAACATCAGCTTCATGAAATGCACGTCCAAAGGGTTTCCTTCCTCCTAGACCGACAAAGGATGACAGCACAGGAGGAATGTGTGCAAATGGGCACAGACACTGCTAGTAGATATGAAGGAAGTTTTGCTATATAAAAATATGTTGCTAATAAAAATTATGAAGATACTAGCAAGACATGACGGTATGCCTCCTAACACATAACCAGTAAGCTCCAAAATACAACTTACATAATTGATTCATAAGATTACTCTGCATATTATATGAGGTCTGTGGCCTCATTTTAAGCCATGTGCCACCTTAATGTCCTTTATAAAAGCACATGGACAAGTTCTAATTTCTGTAGAGTCGACTCCCAGCTTCCTGGGGTGGGGGCGGGGGACATGTGCTGAAGTTGGGCCCGGTTCCAGTGTGAGCCTCTTCCTTTAATTAATTAAGAAAGAAAGAACAAAGAGAAACTGTGGTAGCTAAAGTCTGCCTCATTGAAAACAGCACAGTGAGAGGCCACTTCTAGGCTTCAGGTCAGCAGTGAATAACTTTGTTTTCAGTTATAATGAGGTGGAAAAGAGTTCTGTTTCTCCCCCAGGGGATTTTGTTACTAGTAAAATGGTATGAATAAGCCACTTCAAGGAAAGCACAAGACTCTCTGAGCAAAAGAAGTGACACAGAGAAACAAAAAGGAAATACGCAAAACTAAGAGTCAGTTTTGTGAAAAGGTAAACAGAACTAACAAATCTGTAGCTAGACTTCAAGAAAAGCTGTGTCTGTTGGAGTGGTGTGCAGACTTAAAGAACCAGGGGCTGCTCAGGCCTGGATCTTCCTCAGATGTGGGGAGAACACAGTCTAACAGGCGCCTGCAACGAGAGTGATGGGCAGACAGGTATAAGCTGCCCCTGGCTAGCCAAAGGCCACAAAGGCACCTGCCAGCACATACAAAACTCCTGCTCCAGGGACAGGCTGATCACAGGCCACCAGGCCACATGCCAGATAAAATAGGTGTCTCATGAAATAAACACTCCATCCAGTCCTCTTCATTTCCCAAAAGGGCAGCTTGCTAGCCACGGTGGTTCTAGAACCTTGCTTAGCCAGGGGCTTCTCTAGATTCATACAACCTAAGGAGTCTGAATAGAGATCATAGAACCCAGGGCCTGTAAGATAGCTCGGCAGGTAAAGGCACCTGACACCTAGCCTGGTGACCTCAGTTCAATCCCCCATGCCTACATAGGCAAAGGAGAGAACCAGACTGTAAGAGTTGTTCTCAGATCTCCACGCCACAGTGTGCCATGTGCACCCACCTATAAAGCTCAAACAAACTAGGAGCAAACAAGGAGACAGAATCGGCCTCAAAACCTTTCTAACAAAGAACAGCTCTGGAGCAGAGAGGTGGCTTCACAAGAGAATAGCTACCATCTGACATTTAAAGGCGAACAAATGCCAATCCCATTTAGACTCTCCCAAAACAGAAGAGGGCCTGCTTTCAGACTCCATGTATGAGGCCAACATTACCCCAGCTCCAAAGTCTGATAAAGACAATGAAGGGAACTCCAGGCCAACATCCCAGTGAATAAAGATGCAAAAACATCAATAAGATATTGGAACTCAATTCAAGAGCACATCGAAATGACCACGCACCACAACTAAGTGACCTGTTCCCTGGGATATGAGACTGGCTCTGCATGCCAAGCAGTGGTGGTGGTGCACACCTTTAATCCAGCACACAGGAGGCAGAGGCAGGCGGACCTCTGTGAGTTCAAGACCAGCCTGGTCTGCATAGTGAGTAACAGCACTGCCTGGGCTTCAAAGAGAAACCCTGTCTTGAAAAACAGATAGACAGACAGATAAAAGGACAAAGGACAGTTCAGCAAACGAAAACCAATGGGTGTGGTAAGCTATGAACAAAATGGAGGACAGAGTCAACATGACCCATGCATTGAAGGCAGAAAAAAACTCTAGATCTGCTTCACAATACAAACTTAAGAAGATAAGGACTCTTAGACACAATAAAGACTATGAAGAAAGAATCCTAGCACCATATCCAATACCCCACCATCTCTAGTATCTTCAGACAAGACTGCTCACCCTTGCCACTGTTATTCTAAACAGTGTTGGGAGTTGTAGCCCATGTGATCAGGTAAGAAAAGGAAGTAAAAGCTATCTAGATCTGTTTGCGTGGGGTATTAAGTAATGTCTTATAACAAAGACTTCACCAAAATCCTTTCCTGAAAAAAACAATGGAACGAATTTATTAAAATTGGTGTCCCTGTTATGGAAAACAATACAGAAGTTCCTGGAAACATTAAAACCGGCCTTGCTACCCCACTCCTGGAACTCAGCTGAAGAGCTGATGTCAGGAGGATGAGGATGAGGTAGCCCATGTTGACCTGTTCACTGCAGCACCAGCTACAGACACAGAAACAACCCAAGAGTCAGGCAACAGATTGACAGGTAAAGAACAATGTGGTTCATGGACACCGTGGAGAACAGTTTCACCCTAGAGGAAGGAAGGAAACCCTACATCTGCAGGGACACAGGTGGCCCAGATGGCACTGTGCTGAGTAAAATAAGCGAGGCACAGACAGGCAACCCCTCCCATGTGATCTCACTCACATCGTCAGCCTAAAATAGTCAGAAGGGTTAGGGAAGGGAGGAATATGAAAGGATCTGAACACGGAGGTGAGAATGACCGCTATTATACTGTATTCATATGCTAATATCCATTGAGACATTAACATCGTTTACATACATGAGATGTGCTGAGATCATCAGTCTTACAGCGAATCCTAGGACACATGCAGATAGTAACTATGCGAGTATGTAAATTAGCTAGGCTGGATTGTGGTGTTAATTTTGCAACGTATACATGAATCAAAATATCTAACTGTATACCTCAAATATATTGAATTTGTGTCAATGATATCTCAATGGAGCTGTTCAAAAATAAAGTCATAAAGGAAATAAAGGAAAGCAAAAATATGCTAAATTCTTGCTCTAGAAACAAAAATTCAGAACAAAATCCCCAGATTTCTATGAGTGGAAAGGAGGGAATTTTGGTTGTTCAGAGTGGGAAGAGGACAGAGAAGGTGACAGAAAAGGAGGTAGAGGCAGCAAGACAGCTCGTGGGATGCGGGCGGCTCTGCACTATGTGGATAGGGCTTCCAACGCTGAATTGTGGCAATCATTTTACAATGTATACATGCATCCAAACACCTGGCTGTATACCTTAAGTATATTCACAGCGGCAGAAGCTTGAGGGAGCTCGTCACATCACATCCACAGGAAGAGAAGGGAGAATGAACGCATACATAACCTCAGCTCATTTCCTCTGTTCTTATGCAGTCTAGGACCCAAACCCAGGGAACGGTGCCACGCGTAGTGGGACGGGTCTTCCTACATCCACTAATGTAATTAAGACAATCCCTTACAGACGTGCCCAAAGGATAACCTGATCTAGACAGTTGCCCACTGAGACCCTCTTCCCAGGTGATTTTAGATTGTGTTAAGTTGACTTAAGTTAAATCTAATGGAAATAGCACTTCTGGGCTCTTCTACACGAGGGCTGGGAGCTTAAGAAGCAATTCTGCCCCAGTCCCCCCGCTCTTAGGCGAGTTGTGCAGACAGCTGAACAGAACCATGTCTAATTTTTTTTAAAACAGTGAATGCCTTCTTTTGTTTTCTGACCACCCTATAGCTGAAAACTTAGAGATAAAATAAATGCTTCTGGAACTCCGGGCCATACCTTTGTATCCAGTTGTCTAAACCGATGCCTCATCCTGCAAGGAAATCAGAAAATAAACTAAGAGAAAGAGTCGGGGGGGGGGGCTCTTTGGCCCTGTTTTCATCTTTCAAAGGATGGAAGGCAGATTGTGTACAGTCTCCAGTTTGGGCTCAGGCCAGCATCAGCTGCACTGATCTCTCTGATTTTCTTCCTCATCTCCAAGCAAAGCAGAATTCCTTTCTCAGCCCAATTAGACAGACGGAAAAGTCATGCGTGTCCTGCTGACAGGAGTGGTGAAAGCTGACTCAGAAGATCTGCCTTCCTCCACATCCAGAATACGGAAGTCTAGAATACAGGCATCCATGCTGTCTCAAGAAAAAGAGCAGGCTGTACCCTTTGGTAGTTGTGTGGATTCTAGCGAATAGATTAGTTGTTCTCATATTTACTCCGACTGGTTAGAGTAGATTTGGAGGTGTGCTAAACTCTTAGAAAAAGTGAAACACAGGGATTTATAAAAGGTCGCTAGGTCACATAGGGATTTATAAAAGGTCACTAGGTCACATAGGGATTTATAAAAAGTCCCACACAATTTAAAAATGATAGCACTTCCCAGAGATAACTTGTAACAAGCCACCTTCTACCTCTGTTGTCCAGCTTTGCAGAGACAAATGTGTCGGTAGTTCCTGCAAGATAATACAATTACCCATGACCTCTGGGTCTTCCTGGAACTCACTTCTGCAACTGTGGCTCTTGTTTCTTGGCGCTATGGGTGCTAATGTCTATCCTTCTTTCTCCTCATCTTCTTTTGTTTGGTTGCTTGATTTTTTAAGACAAGAGTTTCTCTGTGTAGACCGGGCTGTCTTGGAACTCACTCTGTAAACCTAGCTGGCTTTGAACTCAGAGATCTGCCCGTCTCTGCCTCCTGAGTGCTAGGATTCAGGGCATGCACTACCACCCAACTCAGCCATTAAAGGCTTAGCTCAGATCTCAGTGCCTTGAACACAGGACATTTCACTGTCCCAAGAGAAAGATAGAGCCTCTTGGGACCCCTTTCTATCCCATGTTCTTTAGGGGAACAATCAGATTAACTGAGGTGTGATCTCTGCCTGTGTTGAGGGAGTGGCTGGCATATGTCTAAGTATTTGTCATCTACAATTGCTTCAGTAGTACTGTCACTGGCCAATGGAAACACGCCTTACTGAGCATGCTCAGATAAGCTGTCTCTGTCCTTCCAGTTTATATATGCAAAGGGTGCCTTGTTACAGAAGTGAGTGACTGACGTACTCCTCTGAGCTGTCGTTGGCTTTCGTGTTGATCTTGACAAGGTAATTCTCCTTCATGACACCTTCCCATGCCAATGTCTCATTGTCCTCATTTCTGAAACCTGAAAGAATGAGAAAAGAAAAACACTCAGGTTGTCTCGTTTGCCTCCATTTCCCAAACCAACGCCTGCCAGGCAGGCATCTGAGAGACTCTGGGACTAAGACAGTTAGATTGATCTCTAGCAGTAGACCTGACTACCGTCTCTTACCAGTGACAGAGGCAGAGCGATGGAATATTAACAGATTTATCAGCAAGAATGAAGGTGGGCGCTGACTGTGTGAATGAGGAATGTAATCGTTATTCTAAACAGAGATCCCTTTGAAACTTGCCTGTGTCTTTTGAGACTCAGATCACTCCACTCATGATTTGGGTGCCCACGTTTGGTGAGTCCCTCTCCTCTGCTTTGATGACATGGAAACACTAAGCCATTTGGTTGGACATTTACTTCAGGTTTTGAACTCCCAATCTAAAGTCAGGAGTTTTATAGAGGAGGGCAATCCGATGACATTGATTCTACTCTGAGACAGGTGGTCTGGGAGTGGACCGTGAAGAAAGCCTTACTTCCAATCTTGCCCTTTCCTCTAAGCCAGGGCCAACTATACAAACTAGCCTGGGACTTGTTCCAGGGAGATTCTTACTTCAATTTCTTACGGTGTCTGGGCCTTTCGGATGGAGGCCAAATGAAAAACCACATCATCAAGATAATTAATGTTTGCAATGGACACCAAACTCCAGAAGTTTATGGGAACAGGAAAGAGATGTTTGTGTAAGTGGCTGCACCATAGTTGAAATAGATTTGTGGTTTGTTTATTTGGTCAGGTTTCTTTCCTTATTTTGTTCATTCATTCTTTGTGTCTGTCTGTCTCTTTCTTTCTTTCTTTCTTTCTTTCTTCTAACACAGGGTTTCTCAATAACTGCCCTGGCTATCCCTGGAACTCACTTAGTAGAACAGGCTGGCCTCAAACTCACTGAGATCAGCCTGCATCTGCCTCTGGAGTGCTGGAATTAAAGGTGTGTACCACCAAACCCAGTAATTTGTGTGGGTTTTACCCTAAACTTACCGTTTAAATGTGTGTATTCTCATGTTAGAGTCTACAAACTCTAACACCTTACCAGACTGAAAAAAAAAATTAATTGGAGATCAGAGTAATACGTGAGTGACTGGATTTGAGAAAATACCAAAATCAAACATGCCTTTATCTTTAAATGGCTGTTATTACTTTTCAAAACAGTTCCTAACCTATTTCCTTTCAAGTGCATTTTCGAGTAGTTTACAGTGTCTTTCCTTCAAAGTAAATCTTCGAGCTCAACAAGATTGAAGCTCCTGGACACCAGCAGCCAGAACAAGAACGACAAACAGCCAACAAAAAATGGCCAGCTTCCTTAACAGTGAGAGAGAGGCTAGGTGAAATGGTGGCCTGGCATTTTCACCAAGTGTACTGAAAAATTGGCAGACTCTGAAGTCCATATTTGTGCCAGCAAAAATATGTAGAAGCACCCACCCATCTTATAAAAAAGAGCCCATCCATCATTACAACTTAAGAGAGGATGAGAAGGTTGTGGGAGACATTACCCAAGAATCAGAAATAATACATATTCTTTATCTAGACATTTTCTTCTAGAATTAATATGAAAATGATTCATGTTCTCAAAAATGCACATATACCACTTTTTACACTTTTTATCACAACCTCATATATTACTGAGAATCAAACTAGGGCCAGGAGAGACAACTCAGTTGTTGTGAATGTTAGCTGTTCTTCCAGAGGATCTGAGTTCAGTTCCAAGCATCCATGTCAGGCAGCTCACAACCGCCTATCACTCTAGCTCCAGGGGCATCAAGTGCCTTTTTCTCTGCAGGCACGTGTGTGTGTGTGTGTGTGTGTGTGTGTGTGTGTGTGTATCTTTCTGAAGAGCTTAACCAAACTACATATTTAACAATAAGGGCTTGGTTAAGTTAACTATGGTATATCCATACACTAGAATATCTCATAGTTAAAATTCTTAGCATAGACATTATTTGTTTATAGGTCTAAACATGTTTATGATGCATCATCAGCTGTATAAATGAATCAATTATTCTATTAATTTTTCTTTACTATACTCCAGGCAATATACATTCCCACAGAAATCAATAATAACTATTGATATTTATCTCTGGATGCTGGTCCTATCTGCCCTCAATCCTTACTTGTGCTTTCCTGTATTTTTCAAATGTTCTATAAAGAGTCTATATTGCCTTCCAAATGAGAAAAGAAACAATAAATTTTCTAAAAATACAATTACCAACTTGAAGGTATTATCAAACAAGGGGGGATAAAAAAAGAAAGAAAGTTTGGAGTCTGACATTCTAAGAATTATTTGAAAAAAGTCTTATAGTCTTTCCTCTAAAGAAGGGCAATTTCAAAATTAATGACCTCCCCATCATTTGGAAGCAAACACAAAATATGCTTCAGGAATGAGCTGCCAGCTGGAGTCCTTGGGAGAGGCAGAGTGCTGTGGTCTCTAGAATTAGTCCTCTGCAAGAGGCAGCAAGGAAGCATGGAGTGACTCAGCTGGCTGGAAAGTCTCTGGTGAGGGAACAGGGCTCTGGCTCCATCATCAGCACCACTAAGGAGAGGCGCCCTGTTTCTTAGTGTCCTCCTGGGAGTAAGATCTGTTCAAAGAGGACAGGTACCATTGCTTCTTCCAACCGTCCATAGAGCATCTCTCTCCCAGTGTCTCCCTGGGGAGATGGATAAATAACAAGCATTTGTGACATACCTGTTTGCTTCCTGATAATGAAACCTATTGGCTGGCTAGTTGGGGCGGGGGGGGGGGGGGCGTCCGTTTCTAGCTGATGTTCTTATCTTGCCTCATGTGATGCATTTTGTCCTCCTCCTTAAGCTGAGTCTGAAGCCAGGAGATGATCTCCCTTCCTGACACTGAGATCCCAGGCTTAGTGTACTAGATCCCGAGAGAATGGACCTTTATTTCATCCAGTCCCCAAAAGTCGATGCCCAACCTGAGTCAATGTGATGGACAGTTCTATAGAACATTCATTCCAATTCCAGAAAATAATGTTAGACTCTGCTTTCGTCTTTATCCTGAGTCCAAGCCATCCTCATTGCAACAAATACAAGTGTGTGTATGTGTGTGTATGTTCATCTGCTCATGTAGGCTATGTGTACATAACCTGTGTACCTTTGCACATGTGTGTAGAAACCAACAGACAAACATTGGGTGTTTTCCTCAACCACTGTCCAGTTTTTTGTTTGAGACAGTGTCTCTCAGTGAACCTGGGGCCCACTGATTGGTTATATCTGGCAAGCAAGCTATAGGAACCCTCCTGTCTCTGCCTCCAGCAATGGAATTACAGGCATGCACCATGATGTCTGACCTTTTACATGTGTGCCAGAGATTTGAACTCAAGTGCTTACACTTGGGAGGCAAGGCTTTTGTCAATGGAGCCATCTCTCCGGCTCTTCTTCCTCATTATGACTTTTATTCATTGTCCAAAGAAAAAAAAATTGTGTAAGCCTTTCTAGGGCTTGGATTTGCCTCTCAGTCTTCTCCCAGATCCTGTAGACACTCTCATCTACATGATCTCAGGAAGGAGCCAAACCGAGACCTAGGCATGCCATTAAATGCCTCTGATATTCGGACATGGCTTTTGAGGACATTCAGCTTCTAGACCTGCATTAGCAGTTCCCACCCTGAACATGAAGACTTCCACTCTTTCAGTTAGTAATGGCTCAGTTTGTTTTCCAAGACAAAACAATGGGGAGAAAGACAGCCACTTATCCAAACTGTCAAAATATTTTCATCAAGAAAGACAACCACACATGTGCAATGGTTATTGACACCCCCAGAGTGTCATTTAATGCCTGGGATGACACTGTTGAAGCTGAGTGTGAAGATCCTTCCTGCTGCAGGCTGTTTGAGAACTGGAGGTGCCTATATATTCGGGAAGTCAGGCTGCAGGTTGGGTCTCAGGATGGGACTGGAGGTCAGCCATGAGTATCTTGCCTCTAGTTTGATGGGAAGGGTCAGACGATGACTTTCTGCACTTAAAATCTGTCATAATTGCCACCAACTACCATATCTAGGAAAGTGACATTTTTTCATTCGGAATCATAATATTTGGAATTGCATCAAAGAGAAGCGGTCAGCCCAACATGATGAGTAATCCGGTAATAGAAGTTCATATCCATTTCATCACACACCTTGTGGTAAATGACCAGAGCACCTCATATAGTCAAGCATTGTCAAAGGATAAGCCCCAGAATGGCATAGAGTTGTGACAGAGATGATGTGATGGAGACCCAGGAATACAGAGGTGCCAACAGTGTGCTGGAGGCCACGGGAGCAAATGAAACCTTCTCTGGAGCTGCATGGTGGACTGCCACCAGTGAAATGAGGGGGGAAGGACAGCCCTTCGGGAGGTCACTCTCCTCCGGTGTTCCCCAGATACCAGGCATGGAGCCTGGGGTTTGAAATTAGTCCTTCTGGGCTTTCATGTGCCTTGAGCCATTCTCCCCTTCTTAATGCTGTCCTTCCTTCCTTCCTGTGGTAGAAATATTTATCTGTCTCTGCCTCTACCCCATCACTGGACCTAAGGAGTCTGTGACTTCGATACTTGCAAAGACTCACACCTGAGTTTTCGTGCAGTCTTAGAGTTTGGATGTTTGAACAATACTGGAATAATAGTGAAGACCAGAAGAATGAAAGAAACGTGTCTTGCATTGTGAGACAGACATGAATATTTGGGGGCCAGAAGTAGAATGATACGAATTGGGTAAGTTTCCCCCCAAATTCCCATGTGTTAAAGGGTTGCCCTTCAAGATGGCATGTGGGGTGGTGGTGACACCTTCAAGAGAAGGGGCCCAGAGTGCTCTTAAGGTGATGTTGAGACCCATTTTCAAGTCACCCCCTGCTTCCTGGCTAGTGATATAAGTGATCTGCTCTGATGCAATGGAGCCACACAGCCTTGAGCTGGAATCTCCAGCACTGAGCCAAGTGAACCTTTGTTCTTTATAGGTTAATTACCTGAGCTGGGTCTTTATAGTGATAGAGAGCTGACTAATAAAAGCAACCCAAAAAGCCTTTCATTCTGTTGGCAGTATGGCTAAACTGCCCTAAAAAATAAGTTCCCAGAAGTAGTAGGGGTCAAAAAAGAAAAAGAAAAAAAGTGAGGGAGAGAGGGAAGGAGGGAGGGAGGGACAGAAGCAGAGAGTGAGGGGGGAAGGAAAAAAAGGGAGGGAAGGAGGGAGGGAGAGAGGGAGGGAAGGAGGGAAGGAAGGAAGGAAGGAAGGAAGGAAGGAAGGAAGGAAATTCTAAAACCAAAGTCCTAGCTTCATACTATTCATGAAGCCTACTGGCAAAATACCTTATTATGTTGTTATTATTATGTTTGTCCCAAAGCCATACCCAGCAGCCCTGGAGAGCTTTCTATCCCACCCTGTCCCTTGAGGCACACATTGGCTGGCCTGACACCTGACCTTCAGAGCCACACAGTGAACTGACTGTAGTGACACAGACCACACATTCACAAAAGGAGCCACCGCGCCAGAACCCGAGCCCAGCCGGAAATGAGCCACAGCTCCAGAACCAGAGCCTGGCCAGGCAACTCACTCACAGCAGGCGGAAGACTCCATGTTCTTCTCTTTGCAGCAGCATTTGAAACACTTCTTCACCACCATGTAGAAGTAAGCGAAGACGACGAAGGGGAAGGGGATGTTGAGGCGGTTGCAGTACTCCTGCACCAGGAAGTAGCGCTGGAACTTCCAGACCTGATCGTTGTTCTCCTGCACGGTGCCCACTGTGTAGCTGGCAGGGGAGAGGGAAGACACAGCTTAGCCATCTGCACTGTCCATTGCCCCATTAGCCTATGATGGTAAGACGGCTGGGCAGTCAGCCACGTGGTGGCCTAGGCCAGGCAGGAGGGAGGCATCCATGTTGATACCACAGCCAGGACAACTTGGTGTACGCCACCCGCTGACCTCAGTGGGGAATCTAGCTTTGGTTCCCTTTTCTTTTTTGTTTTGGATCGCACAAGAAAAATGTCCAGTGAACTTCGAAGTGATCTTGATTTACAAACCTTTCAATGATAACCTTTGCTCATCAAACTATTATTGTGCTAGTTACAAAGAGGCCAGTGAAGGCAATTCCCTCAGGAATATTTTATCACCATTATGTGTCTAATTGAAACAATCTGGAGAGAGTTTGTTAGCATTTCTCAAGAGCCTTGGACAAAACACCAAAATGGCTGTTCCTAGGATGCCCAATGGCTGCCCCTAGCATGGCCGCCCCTCATGGCTAGGGAAGGCTGGGGTACAAGATTCGGCAGGAAAAGGGGAGAAAGCCTCTAGGAAAAGCTGTCACCAGGGACTGTCATCTGGGAGCTGCACAGATTCCAGTTACAGACATACACAGTTATATTTGGAAAGGAATTTTGAGGATTGCCCTGTGGTGTGTCCAGAAGGGCAGATCTGACTCTGTGAACTGCAGATGAAGGGACACTGGCCCACTCGAGCAAGCGCTCTGGCAGGGCTTGCCCTTCTCCCCAGCTCCCTCTGCCTTGCTAAAGGTCATTTTCCTTATTTGGTCAATCCTTCCTTCTGAGGCTGACTACCAAAGTCCAGCAATCAAAATCCCCCTTTGGTTCACCTTATTAACATGTCTAATTAAAATTAAACACCTTGTCTTAATGCAGGCTTCCCGTTGTACCTCTATAAGCTGCCATGAAAATGGCATGTCTGTTTCCCCCCTATCCCCAGGCAATTCTTTGCCTTCCAGGACAAATACAGCTCACCCTTCTCCCTTGTTCCCTTCCCCTTCTCTCTCATCCTCCATCCCCTGTCTTTGTCCCTTATCCCTGTCCTCTGTCCCTCTGGGGCAAATAAATCTCCTTTGTGCTGAGAACTTGGTCTTGGGGGTCCTGAGTCAATCTTTTTCCCTTCCGGGAACATGCGGAAATTAACAGAAGCACAATTTCTGGAAACCAAGATGAGAAAGAGCTGTCTCTCTCCACCCAAGGAGCAATGCTGTCTCGTTGACTACGAAGATTACAAGCCAATCAGTTGGCGGTGCGCAGCTCTCTCTGCTGCTGTTGGAGTTAACAGAGCTAAGAACAAGGTGGCCACTTATGAGTCCATCCACAGTTTAGAAAAGTCATACAAACGTTTCATCTGAGCAAGTCAGCTCGGGATCATGTGTCTTTGGGTAGAGTACATACTACTTGGGGTGAGGTGGCGTTCAGCAGCTGCATTGTGGGAACTAAGCAGGCAAGAATTCACACCCATTTCTAACACTTGATAAGGTGTCAGAAAGCTGGATGGAACTCTCTGCCAGACTCCTCAGAGTTCCAGGAGCTGTGAGCACCGTGAAATACACAACACGACAGCCCAGAAGAATCTGAAAGGCACAGTTTGGAAAACGGAAAAGGAAAACATTTCCAAAAAAAAAAAAAAAAAGTCTCTTAATGGAGACACGGACTCTCAGTTTTCTAACCAGAAATACATTTTCCCATTTCTTTAATTTTGCTGCGCACCAAAAAACTCACTTTGATAACTGTTTCTTTCCCTGTGTTGAACTCGGCAATAGCAGGACAGTGGTGGGAAGAGGATGTGGCAACTGATTACCAGCCTGCAATGTTTTTTGCTTAATGTAAAAGTTTATTTTTTTTTTTAAGGAACCTTAAAAAGTTTCATCATTTTGACCCAGTGACTTCACTCCTGGAAGTTCAAGCTAGGGACAGGAGGTAGTTAAAAAAAAAAAAACTACACAGAAATAGACACACACACATGGCTCCTCATACGTAGTAGGGAGAGACACCTGTGCCCCTCACCTACGAGGAAAGAACAACCTGCACATTCAACACCAAGAGCACACCTGGGTATGGATGATGAGCGTAATTTCATTATGCAACCGCTGAAATCAGGTTTATAGATAATTTTTCTGCTTTGGAAAAATTGTCTGTGTTAAGTGGAAACAACGAGGCTCAAACTCATACTTTCGGGACAGTCTCCCCATGTAAATCATGACTCCGGGGAAGAGTGGCATCTCCAGTCTCCCAGCTGGGCTCGGTCCTCCTGACCTTCCACTTCCCAGCACCACGTAAGAAGTCTGCGTGCTGCACATAATTATGATGCACATAATTACGATGTCAATTTTGCGTTCTACCCATAACTCTTTATAGTAATGATGTTCAAGTTCTCAAAACACCCATGCTATAAAAGAGAAAACACTTTTCAATAAACCAGGAGCTGGTCTATTGATCTATTTGGGCTCTCCTATAGTTCAAGCACCTCCAGCTCACTGTGTAGCTGAGGATGATCTTGAACTTTTCATCCTCCTGCCTCCATCTCTCAGGGCTTGATTGCTGGCATAAGCCACAAATACCTGGCTTATGTGATGCTTCAGACCCAATACAGAGCTTTATACCTGCTAGGCAAGCACTCTACCATCTGGGCTCCATCCCCAGTTCCTATAGGATGCTGTTCTAGGCAGCCTATTCATGCTGATTAATTTAATATGTAAATAACTCTAAGTCCTGCTATCATCTATGATAAACAGATTGGGAAACTGAGGCACAGAAAGAGCACACAAATTGAAGCGTTGAAGCTGGGATTTGGCCTAGCAATCTATTTCCGAGTCTATCCTGCATCAGTCGAGCAAAATGTGTGGTGTTATGATAGCTTTCCTCTGTTTCCAAGGGGTTTAAAGGGATGACTTGTCACTTTGGGTTAACTACAAAGTGGTTGACAATTTGGGCAGTATGCATTTTGAGCACAATGAAGCCTCTGAAGTTTAGAAACCCACGCTTATTGACTACCCGCATGCATAAGCTCCCTAAGGCATGCCAGCGGCTGCCTGGCTAATCCTTTCATCTACGTTTCAGAGTAGAAGTTTTAGGTACAAAGCAAACAGGACTGTGGATCCAGAAGATGTATCTAATAGCTCGCCTGGCATTCCTTCCCAATGTAGGTCAGGTTGCTGGGAGGCTAATGCTCCGTCTGCTGTCATTACCATCTCCCCTGGTCCTCAGCTGGCTCTGCTCTCTACAAAGAACAGCAGCCTCATCTGCCGCAGCAGCGGCTCAGATCTACCGAAGCACCCAGATTAGTGACTCTCGGTCTAAGAACCTGCCAGAAGTCACAGCCTTCTGCCTTCTGCCAGAAGCCCTAAAAGCACCTCATGATTTCACACAGCCATTCCCAAATGGATCCCGATTGCTCCAAACTCAAAAACCAAAACAAAAGCCACTGCATCCACTTTGAGGCATCAAATGTTGTTTTTGGATGTTTCCTACAAAAGACATTGCTATGTCTGGATGAAGTGGGGAGCTTTACAATGCTCACGGCACGTTAAGAAGCACAAGTGCCTCCCTCCTGTCCTCACTCTGGGAGCTCCGAGAGAAACGCTGAAGAAAGGCCCTCTGGGGGTGAGATTTGTGCCTTGGCTGAACTGGCCATTCAGACTCAATGAAGCATGTTTTATGTTCTGCAGATCACGTAGGGCAGGAACTGACAGAATGAAGCCATTTGCGACCTTTTGCTTGTTTCTGCACAGCCTGAGAAAGACTGGGAAGAGCAAAGAAGTCCAGGCCGGGACAAGCCATCGGGCATCATTTTTTCTTTGCGTCCTTTTGGCGCAAGCCCTTCTGGAGAAGCGCTGCAATCCCTACCTCTGAGGTAGGCAGGAGGGCCCACCAATCACAACTTTGCCTTTGTGCTATCATTCTCCACCTCAAGAAGCCTGCGCATCACTGTTTCACTTCTTTCCCTGGAGAACCAAATGTCAAGGCCCTTCCGATCAGAACAGCAATTTCTTCTGTGCCCCGTGGGCAAGATAAACCCTGGGAACAGCACTTCTGATAAATGATGAAAACCCACGTTTACCTATCATGAGGGAGCTAGATGAGCACCTAAAAGCCAAGGTCTACCTTCCCTGGATGGCAGCAGCTTCTAAATTTCTTTCTTTTTCTTTTATGTCCACTCCAGATTCAGTCAATCAACATGGGAGTTTTCCATGGAAGGCTGATAATTGCTGATAATTGAGGGTGGCAACAAACTGCTTTACCAAGATAATAATTTTTGTATTATTTACATGTATCCGTGTGTGTGTGTGTGTGTGTGTGTGTGTGTGTGTGTGTGTGTGAAACATAGGCCAAGTTCAGGTGCTCCTTCAGTACTGTCAACTTTTCATTTTGCTACGACAGTAACTTTGACTGACCTCAGAAACTCACGAGGTTGGCTGAGTAGCCAGGCCCTGAGATCTGCATGTCTCTGCCTCTCCAGCACCAGGATTGACAAGTGTATTGCCAGGCCTGGCTTTTAATGAAGGTCACGGACCTTGAACTCAGGTCTTCAGGCTTGCCTAGCAGGCACTGTTACCAGTTCGAGCTACCACCATGGCTCTCTGATTTTTTTTATAGTCTTTAGAAGTTAGTTTTAACATCTGTAGAGAAGTTAGATTCTGCAAAGGCAGGCCTTCTATGGCTGATGTGTGAAAATGGCTCTCAGGGACACAAGCATCAGAGTGGCTTGAAGCTAGCCTCAGTTGCACCAGATCAGACAATGCTCAGCATCTTCCAGGCCATCACTGGTCATCCGCATCTTCCTCAAGAGACCCTAAAACCTGCCCCTCCTCACCACTTCTCCGATACCCTATTAGGAAGGTATTGTCCTTGTCAGTATCTCAGTGGGTTGTATGTGGGTAGTGGCAGTGGAAGTCATCTCATAGGACCAACTGAATACCCTCTGTGGAGCAGGGCAGGAGAGAGGAGGAAGCAGAAGCCCCTTGGAGGGAGAAACTTGCTGAGATTGGAGATGTTGCTAGCCTTCGGCAGATGTTTGGAGCTCAGAGAGCCTTGTGCACAGATGAAATCCAGACGTGCATTAAAGGGGTGATATGCCATGACCACAGAGCAGAAGGATGGTGGAATGCTAACAATATTGCTATAATCCATCGTTTGTATGATGCATCATAACGCCAGATCAAAAGGAAAGTCTTTCAATACTTACAGGAGAGCCTTCTGGAACACAGAACATCTTTTTCTGGTTAGAAAGGGAGACAGAGAAGAAGGAGCTGACATGACAGATAAGGAGTTGAGGGGGAGGGGGAACCACCGTCCTCGAGGTAATAAAAAGAAGGGAGACAGTTAACAAAGGAGACTTGTTCCCCATGAATAAGTGACTCTTTAAAAGCCTTCCTATATAGCAAAAAGTCGTCACTGAAATCAAAATCATAGGAAAAAAGCCAGGAAACATTTGCTCACACCCCTAAATGGCTGAAATAACAAAGAGCCTGCAAGGCCCATGCAAACAGAACCACAGAGTACTGACAGCTACAGATACTTGAACACTGTGAATACGATGCTGATTCTGGGGATTATGAATCCAGTTTCTCCTAAATAATTCCACAAAGAGTCACAAGAATTTTTTTTTCTCAAAAAAAGAAAGAAGAAACTCACAAGATGAGTTTCTTCATACAATTAAATATGCACGAAAAGCTAGGGGGAGATTTGAGTAAGAATAATGAGGGGAGGACTTATACAACAGATGTTTTAATGACTTAAAAAAAAATCTTCAGTAATGAAAACCATTTGGTAGTAAAAACCAAAATAGAAAGAGTGATCAAATCAGAATGCACAGTCTGAAGAAAATTATAAAAACTGGATATGAAAACAACAGCAGGTTTTAGAATAAATTAAAATCCAAAAAGGCTTCTCAGCTAGATTCCTTTCTCAAAGATTTATTTTTATTCTAAGTGTATGTGTGTGAGCCTGCTTGAGTTTTTGTGCACCATGTACGTGCAGGATCCCACAGTGGCCAGAATAGGGCATTGGAGTCCCCAGACCTGGCGCTAGACACAGGTGTGAGCCACCATGTGGGGGATGGGAACTGAAACCCAGTTCTCTGCAAAAGCAGTGAACACGCTGGTGCTGAGCCATCTCTCTGGCCCTCAGCTAGACTTTCACCCAACAAGCAGCTCCTTTGGTGTGTCACGGAGAACTAATGCCCCCTCCTTCCCAAGCAGACCAGTAATGTCTAATCAGAACTGTTTCATTCCTAGAGACAGCCCTGGCTCATGGGCTCTGTGTCTGCCCAGCATGTATGTTGACATGTTTGCTGTATCCTATCCCCTTTCATCCATATGCTTCAAAACAACTAGAAGATTTGGATGGAGAGAGGGCTCAGTGCTTATGAGCAAATACTGCCCTTAGAGAGGACCCACGATCGCCTCTCATCATCCGCATTAGGTAGTCCGTATCACTGCTTGTAACTCCAGCTCCAGAGGATTAGATAACCCCTTCTGGCCTCTGTGGGTACCTCCACTCACGTACACATACCGTTCTCCTGACCACACACATACCAGACATATGCACATATTCATTATTTAAAATAAAATAAAGAGGAGGCTTAAAGCTTCCAACACAAAGAGATGATGGTGGTCTGAGAAGAAGGAGACAATACTTATCATTTAATCATTACTCATTGAACATGTGCATTCCAACATTACACCAAGAGAATAAACAGGCGTAGTGCTAGGTGCCAGTTTGGACCAGAATAACATCCATTAAGCAACTGAATTGCCATTCAGCTGAATTAAAGTAACAGTAGCTCTTTGCACTGTTTTCAAGATTGAAGACATTTTGTAAGAGGGACGGGAAAGAGTGAAGGGGGCTTTGGAATAGATCACAGAAGAGCTGACTAGATGCCACTGACAAAATAAAAGACAATAATTATAATAATCGTGATGTGGGAGATGTGGGGAGGAGCAGGCACAGAACTGACAACCCTTGGGAAAGACACCACTGATTCCATTTACCTGCCTTTCAATCAACCGTTCAGTTTAGTACGACGCTGCCATAGAGCAATGCAGCCTAGACTGAACAAAACACAGGACTTGAAATCCTCCTGCCTCAGACTCTTAAGTAGCTGGGCTTCCAGGACTGTCCTGCCAGACCTGGTGGCTACTTCCTATTTTATTATAATACGTGCCACCGTGGTAAATATTGGCAATCATTTCTTCCACTTACAGCAGGCACTTGACCTGGCCCCGCCTCTTCCCTGTGAAGTCACTGGGAGGCTGCACCCCCACAAGGGCTGGTAATGAAGTGAAGGGGCCCATACAAGGCACTTGGAAGGCAAAGCTCCATAAATATTTAGCTGAGGGAGGGAAGATTCACTCTGGCTCATGGTTTGAAGGAACACAGTCCAGCTCAACATGGTAGAGAAGGCACAGCAGTGTGAGCAGCTAGTAGCTGGAACTTCAGGTGACTTGCTCACATCTCAGAGGACCAAAAAAAGGACGAAGGTGGAAATGAGGGTATGAGGGAGAATAAGAAACTGGCACCAGAAGCAGAGCTCAGGCTTGACCCCAAAGACTCACTTCTTTTCGCCAGACCTTACTTACTAAATTGTTCTGCAGTTTCCACAAACAGTGCCACCCTCTGGGGACCGAGTGTCCAAACACGTGTGCTTGTGGAGGACAGCTCACATTTGAACAACTTCTGCCAATTTGCCTGGTGGTCAGTTTCCCCAGAGCTGCCTAGTGTTACACATGCTCATACCAGTGGGCACGCTGTATGCAATCCTGGAAACACTGCAGGCGACAGGATAGTTTCTGAGACTTGGTTATCAAGTGTGGTGCCGTTAACTCAGTGTTGGCTCTTTGGCTCCGGATGTCATTTTTAGCATGTGGTTGCTTAGGCAACATGACTTTGACATCTTCTAACCTCTGATTTTCTTTTCACGAGAAATCTGCACCTATGTTAGATGGCATAGAGATAAGTGTTCCTAATTTATCTGTCTCCTACATCACAATTATTTGGAAGCTTTAGCAGATAGCCACTCGATCATTTCCCACCTTTCAGAGGATCCAAAGGCCTGCATTAAAATGGTTATGAAAACAGTTATGCCTCTTCTAGAATCTCCCGAAGATCCTACCCTACGTATCTTTACACTAAGAGTCTCTTTACACTAAGAGTCATAGGGAACATGTATTGATTAGGTTGTGACAGGATCCCTTGGTGTCCCTTGCAGACTAGCTAGCCTCAGAACCAACATTCAGAAAGATACCACACCATAACTGGCCATCAGAACGAGAACAACAATCTGTGTGTTGCGGATTCATCCCAATGTTTATCGCCATCCTAAGGCAAATCTTAAATTACAACAGCTATATAAGTTGTGGCCAGATACATAAGTTGTGGAGCAGTTAGGTAGGTTATATACCAACTGAGGCACAACAGAACCATCAGTGAGGCTCCTCACAGCTAAAGACATGAAGATCATTCGGTTTGTTTCAGATGCCACTCCATGTATCTCTTGTGCTTCTGAGAAACTCTATGAAAGTGAGGAACTTATCACAGCTAAATAATGTGGGGCTTGGACAAAATGAAGCTTTGCAAACCCGTGGAAGCAAGCCTGTGTGTGAGGCCCCATGAGGAGCTTGGCAAGTGTTGCCCAGTAGAGGCTAAAACCAAACGGTGCCACAAGACAGCTACACCTTCCAAGTTCATGATGAATGGCACTCCTGGGACCTTTAACTTTTGGATTATACATCCGAGGTGTCATTGGTTGCTGGGTATTGGTTTGCATACGTTTGTCTTACTTAGAAAACATACACCAGGAACCTTAGAGGTGATTTGCACTGTAGCTATCATGCTAACGCAGTCAACTTGCCTGGATTTGGAATTGCCTAGGAGACACATCTCTAGCGGTGTATATGAGCATGCTTACAGAGAGGTTTAATGGGAAGAAGGCCCACTCTGAACACAGGGAGCACTAGTTCATGGGTTGAGGTATTTGTCTGAATACAAAGGAAGATGAGTAGCGGACACATTGTGACTCCCTGCCTCCCAACCCCACTCCCGTGACTTCCCACTGCAATAGGCTGTACCCTCAAACTATAAGCCAAAACAAGCCCATCCGTCCTCTCATTGCCTGTGTTAGGTGTTTTGTCTCAGCAACAAGAATGTTGTTGGTTCAGTTGCTCTCCGGAATGATGTAATCCTAAGCATTGCCTAGATTTAAGGGAGTTGGTCACATTGCTTGTTTGTGGTGTCAAATCAGTCAAACACCTTGTTGTTTTTTTTTTAAATATGGTCCCTTTAAGGCCCCCAAACACCAAAGACCACCAGGCTCCCAATGGCCTCTACTCTCCGCTCCTCAAGGTGGACATTACCTCTGCCCACACTCGTCCTGCCTGCCTGGCATAGGCACAGCCCGTAGAGGAAGTCCCTGAATGTGTGACACAGACATACCCAAACATGGCGACCAGGAGGTTGACGAGCAGGATGTTGGTGGAGAGCATGTAGATACACACCAGAGGGATGGTGATCCACTCAGGGAAGCGGGGCAAGTTGTTCTCATCCATCTCCACACACAGGGGCTTGGACTCGTTGCCCGAGAAGGTGCAGTGGGAAAAATCATATGTGGTACCTGTGGGCACAGAACCAGGAGGCCAGTGAGGTCCCTCTGGAGAAGAAGCAAGGATGGCAGCAGGCCGGGAGATGTGGAGTCAGAGTCATCTTGGGAACAATCTTCAGAGTCTCATGCCCACCAGACAGCTTACTGAGCAGCTACTGGGAAATCGTGACTTCATTAAGACCAAAATCAAAACAAAACAAAACAAAACAAAAAAAGGTGTCAACTTGACACAGACTGGAGTCATCTGAGGGAGTCTCAGCTGAGGGGTGGCTAAGGTCAGTTTGGCCATGTCTATGAGAGACTGTCTTGATGTGGGAAGGCCCAGCTCACTGTGACAAGTCCCATCTCTAGGTAGCTGGAAGAAGAGTAGACGTACAACCCAGGAAGAATTAGAAGGCTAGCTAAGCATTAACCAATGAGCAAGCTAGCAAGTAGCATCCCTCTGTGGGTCCTGCCTGCAGGTTCCTGCCTCGAGCTCGTGCCCTGACTTCCCTCAGTGAGGAATTACGGAGTGGAAGCATCGCCCTTGGTCCGCATGTCTTATCGCAGCAACAGAAACTAGAACAGGGGCTGTGATCATTTCTGTGCTCCAAGAAGCATCCAAGTTCCTCAGTTCTACAGTCAGTTTAAAGATTCAACCTGCACAAAGTCCCAAAAGAAGGAATTGGATCACCCAGAAACATCTCTGAAATGAACAGAAGGATGAGTGAGTGACAACCATGTTACTAAATGGGAAGGGACAGGTACCCGAGGCTGGCAACAGCACAAGCTAAGGTAAGTGAGACAGAGGCCTGGGAGAGGAAACTTGGCAAGGCCGCACTGCTGGCTCACCATGCTCATGATGAAAGCCATGGGCACTGTTAGAGGATGGTAATAGAAGTGATTCTCTACCAAAGGGCTGCTCTGACTGCCACACATATCAAAAAGATCCGGAGGACACAGGAGAGCTTGGATAGATGCCAGAGCATGGGGGATCAGAACATTCTGCATGGAGGTGTTGTGGGATCGTGAAATCAACTAAACCGGCTGAGCACTAGCATCCAGGAGCAGTGTCAGAGAGGGTTCGTGAGGCCACTTGGAGCCACCTAAGAGATGTGACTCTGGGCATGTCCACGAAGGTGTTTCCAGAGACTTCAACCCTCAGAGTGGGCAGCTCCTTCCCATGGGCTGGGGTCCTGGACTGAATAAAAAGGAGGAAGTAAGCTGAGTATCAGGAGTCTCCTCCTCTCTCTCTCCTTCCCTCCCTCCCTTTCCCTCCCTCTTTCCACCCGCTGATTCCTGACTGTGGATGTGATGAGACAAGCCACCTCACTCTCCTGCCACCACGCTTCCCCTGCCGTGATAGGCTGACTGTGTACCCTCGAATTGTAAGTCAAGATAACCCTTTTCTTCCTGACATTGTTTCTGTTAGGTATTTTGTCACAGTGACAAGAGATGGTAGCACAGGTCTATTAAGTACATCAACGACCTGACATATCCCTGGTAGGAGATATAGCTCGGTGGTGGAACACTTCCCTAGTTAGTACAGCAGAGGAGCGGAATGTCACAAAAGGGCTCTGACATACACCACTGTGCCCTGGTGGGAAAGAGACCAGCATGGACCTTTGGAGGAAGGCCTGCTCTGCCAGGAAGGTCGGGACCTTTCCTTTGAACTAGCCACTGTAGGTCTGTGTGAGTTCAGAGAAGACCACAGACTCTGGTTCTGAGGAGGAGCACCCTGCCAGAGCCCTGTCCTCATCCCTGACAGCCTGGGCACACACACACACACAGTGTAGGAAGGTGTCACTGTGCCAGACAGTCACTGACAGAACTCAGAGACTGAAATGTGCACACAGCGCACATACCTGCCCTGGCCTGTCCCCTAAGTGCTGTTCCTCGGTAGAACCCAACCCAGCAGCAGGAGGAGCTCTCCTCCGGACAAAGGGTGTCACCGTGCCAACTAGAGAGTCCCAAGAGCCTTTCCACCCCTGCACGGAAGGGACCTGTTTCTCACAGTCAGAAGAGGCTTCCGCTGAGGAATGGAGACCAATAGGGAAACCAGAGGGACTGAGAAAGGTCACCAGTCAGGTCCAGCCCTGGCTCAAGGAAACAGTCCATCAATGCAGTTCATGCTGGCAGGGTGGGAGATGACAAGTCGGGGCTACTGTCAACATCAGGAAGCTCCTCTACACAGTCCATTTAAAACACAAATTTGCTTATGCCCCATTCCTGACATTGTAGTCTGAGTGTGGGCACAATAAAGCCACTATGCCAACGTCAGCCTCATTCCATCTTCTGAGCAGTGGGCTAAGGATGAAAGCTTCAACCCAAGGTCCTAGTGTCAACCTTCCATGTGTTCTTTAGGACTAGATGGAACTCTGAACTCTGTGACATACAGGGAGGTACAGTCGACAACACTTCCGTCTGAATCAGCAAGGACTGTCCCACTCTACCCTGGGAACTGAGAAATGCCATGATTTTTAAAAACATGAGTGTGCGGGCTCGGTGGGTAGAATGCTTGCCTATCATACATGAAGTCCTGGGTTCAATCCCCAGCACAGCGCTAACCAGGCACGGCGGTACACATCAGCAATTTCAGAGGGGTGGGGGGAGGGGGAGGGAGGAAAGATCAGGAATTCAAGGTCATCCTGGGCTACAAAGGGAATTCAAAGATACCCTGGGCTAGGGACCTTGTCTCAAAAAATATTAAGAAATAGAAAGACTTAAAGATTTCCATGAGAACAACGTAAGATCTTATTCAGGAGCAAAGAGAAGAGGTGAAACGGTCAGGGATGGGTCCAGGATGTCACCCCCAGCTCCACCTCTGTCCATGCAGGGCCGGGCTTACCATCCACGTCACTGGGCACCTGGCCAAACATGGCCAGGTAGGGCTCATAGATGACAGAGCGGAAGATCCACCTCCAGCGCTGTTCATTCAGTCTAAGGATCCCCTGCCTGGCCACGCCAAAGGCTACCATCCACACGGCAAAGAGAAACAGGAAGAAGAAAACGTCGATCAGCTGCCAAGGGAGGAGATCAGAATAGTCAGAACTGTGCTCGTGGTGGCTGGTTATGAAGCCTGGCCATTCCCAGTCAGCCACAGAGGCCGGCAGAGGGAGGTTCAAGGACCCAGAAAATGTATTATCAAATTGCCTGGCCACTTATTCATTTATTTCACACCAACTGATTGAGTTAACTGCTGGGGTTAAGACCAGGGCCTTGTATATGCTCTATCACTGGGCTGCATGCATCCCCAACCCTTAGCCACTAACCTAAAAATAAAACACCCTCACCTTAGGTCTGGAGATGTTTCCCCAATGAAACCCAAGTCCTGCACTATTGCTTGCTGATCTCCAAACAGCTTGGATTCAGGGCTTTGAGAGTGAAGGCCCAGCTCAAACACTAAAGGGCCTCTGCTTTGGAGGAGCTGGCTCCAGCCACACCTGGGAGCATTTGCATTTTTTTTTCAATCCCCAAATTGTTTTTGCAGAATTACTTCTTTGGAAAACAAAAGCAGCCCTTATGAGATGGGAACAATTTACTTTTTCTCCCGCTGTGTTTTGCACACACAGCTTGACGTCATGGTGACTGGATGCCTCCGAGGTGCTTTGAGTTAAAAACCGCACACTCAGCCTCAGCATTGGAAAGGGATGTCCACATGAGCTCATCCAGTGGCCCATCTGATTTCCAGACAGAACCAGCCGCGGGAAGCAACGTCCCCAGCCTGCCACGTTCTCCCGTTGTGTATGTCAAACAAGCCTTTCTCCCACATGGGTATTACAGGGTGTGGAATTTAGGATCCCATCATCTCTAGACATCTAGCTCAACATTTATCTCTAGGGAAAGATGTTTTCCTCCTTGAACTAGAACAACCTATCTATAAAAACGGTAAAAACGTCATAAAAGCCCCCCCCCCGCCCGTACATATACTCTGAGCGAGCTGTTCAGACTCCAAGGAAGCGTGATGCGAAGTGGAGACCGTCAGGAAACCCCAGTGGCTTTCGGGCAGTGCTACACTCAACACTGTTGGTTCCTTGGAGCTCTCTTTCCTAAAATCTCCCCTGAGGAGAATGGCCTCTGGTAAAAAACAGTTTTTTAAAAAAAAAGCAAATGCCACTGTTAACGCAAGCTATCAAGCTATGCCGTGAACAAGCTATGCCGTGAACAAGCTCTGCCCACCAGTCATGGACTCCAAGGCAGATGAGAGACGGATGCCCACTGGTGCTGCTGGCTCTTACCATTCGCTGTAGCATTATAATCTTGGGTCCTAAGTTCCTGCTAACAGTGAAGATGTGGATAAGCCTTAGAGTGAATATAATGTAATCCAGACAGAAAATGACTCTCCCGGAGTACAAAGAGCTTTTATTAGAAGAGTGGAGTCTGTGGAGAGAAAAAGGGAATTAGTGTTATGTGGCACAACGTCTCAAAGTTTACTGTGGTGTGTCATGTGTGTTTGGTGTGTCGTGTGTGCGGAATGTCATATATGTGGTGTGTCGTGTATGAGTGGTGTGTCACGTGTGTGTGGTATATCGTGTGTATGGTGTGTTGTGTGTGTGAAGTGTGTCGTGTGTGTGTGGTATGTCATGTGCGCGTGCACATCCGGTGTCTCACTCTGTTGCTTTCTGTCATGGTTTTTGAGACAGGGTCTCACACAGAACCTGGAACTCACTGACTGAGACAATAAGCTCCCAGATCTGCCAATCTTGCCCAGCCCTGGTTCCAGTCACAGGTGGGTACTGCCATTCTCAGCTTTTACGCGGGTTCTGTGGGTCTGAACACAGTCCTCACACTTGAATGGCAGGCATGTTGCTGACTGAGCCATCTCCCCAGCTCAGTTTAGGGCCTTGGATGGTCATTTGAGATTTAGCTGTCTTCTCACGCACTCTAGCTGTGAGGCTGGAGGGATACACTAATACCTGGATGGGTGGCTACAGGACCAGTGTTCTGGCCGAAGTCACATGTGCCATAACTAAGTGGACCAAAATAAATCAACATTGGAAGACACTCAACATCCCCAGGACCCTTTCCCTGGATTCTAATTGTGCCCCCCCCAAAGCCTATTTGAAAAACAAAAGGAAAATTGTAAAGAACCCTGGATGAGAGGTGAAGAAGGAATTTATGTTGGCCAACATGTGTCTCCACAGGACAGGAGCAACGGCCTCTTGTGGTCATCTCTGGTAGGGCATGACTTGTTATGTCCAAGATTTGTTTTCTCCATCTTTTGTGCCAAAATGCCTGAAGATAGGAAGGGGGAAGGAACCACTCACCGGAACACGATCCCTGCTATGAAGTAGAAGAGCCCCAGGGTGTCCATGACGTTCCACAGGTCAGTGAAATAATTCACGCCGTTCATGTACCACTGTGACAAGAGAGGACAGACGAAAGAGTGGGCATCTGGGACACCAGGCTTGCAGACCCGTGAATATCCATGCAGCTTCTCCCTAGCACTCTGGAGGCTGTTGGTATCAAGAACCCCACGACCAGAACCCCATGTTCCCAGGGCACCGGAGAGCTAGCTGCTCTTTACACACATATAGCTCTCAGAGTCAAGGAAAGGAGGTGTGTTCTCTTCTCTAAAAATGAAGCCTCAGAGAATGAGTGTGACCTGTGTGGGAAAACATGAACACGGACAGCAATGTAGACTGTGCACTGTGCGGTTACCGAGTGTCTTCCTGACTGTTGTAGATTTGTGTATTTATTGTAAAAATATAATAGAACACACACAGTAGAACAACTTGATTAGTGAAACTGTTTCAAAATGGGCACATAGAGGGAAGATTATTAATTGGACTGTACAAAGTAGGTGTGAAGAACTCCAACCTAGCTGTGTAGCCCTTCCGTTTGCCTACCTACTCAGAATCTGGCTATGAGGAGCCTGAGAACAAGACCCTGGGGAAGGCTCAAAACGGGGAACAGTGGATTCAGTGAAGTGTGGTACTGATTCCTATAAAAGATGAATGCTCGTGTGTTCCCATGAACTCATCCATCTGGGTCTATCTGGGACTTGGCTATCCTATTTCCTACTTGGTCCCTGACCACAAGGCCTAGACGGGGTGGCTAAGGTGCCCATCCTGGGAGTGAAGGGTTTCTAGGATCCACCAATATCCTCCAAGCTGAAATGCTGAGGGGGGCAGGACACACCGCTCGAGTGGACAAAGGAGGGAGCATTACCAGATAACCTCGGAATGATGACCTCCCCCATGCCTGCACAGCCTGGCTCAGACCATGTTCCACTGTGGGGAAACTGGTTCAAGGTTAGGACCCTGGGAGGACACAGGAGCATCCATTTGTCGGTGCAGTGCTGACCCTCGGGGTACCAACAGCCATTGGCTACTCCGTGCCTGCTAAGATGAGAATGGCTAGCACCTGCCCTGCCCACCTATTCTCCTTGTCGTCCCTGCTGGTAGGCTGGTACATGCTGATCCGTACTGTCCCAGCCCTTCCTTGTCTAAGGGACTCCAGAAGCCTGACCCGTATTACAGGAATGATAGCTACATGAACCCTGGGCCACTAGAATACCACTACAGGGAGAAAAGATTTCAGGTAAGGCTAAGCTGCGCTCATGAAACAACAGGATGTGTTCATCATCTCCTCCACGCTGTGACAGCTTCAGAACTAGAGGAACTTTCAGAGAAGGTGGGGTGGAGCTTACCACCTTTTAATCAAACATCCACCGCACTGCTTAGCTCTGCTAGGAGTGAGTTAACTGTGTGTGCACTGTTGACTCTCTAGGTTAGAAATCCCCAATTAGTGTGAGCACCCGACATCACTCATCAGCGGAGAGCAGTGGGTGTCTGAGGCCCAGATACAATCTAAAACAGACAATGTCCTGTTGAGGGGGCCTTCTGGAACAACTGTGACTCTTTCTGGTAAGACTGCACAGGTCTGTAGACCTCTTCCTTGAAAATCAACCCAGTTTAGGGATCCAAAGACAAGGTTCTACAGAAAGAAAGGGAAACAGCGCCCTCTAGTGACATATTGCTTAAGTGACAAAACTTTACAGCAGTGGTCTGCAGACTGGCTCCTGTTTTATCAAGCATTCCAGAAAAAAAAGCCACCTGGGTTTCTCTGTTCAAAAGGGAGAGAGGACTGGGCCTCCTCTCTCCTCCTCTCTGGCTTTAGTAGCTGACCAGGTGACCCTCAGGAGTGACTTAGGTACACCCTGCATGTCCCTTCCTGTATTAACACAACAATCTCAGCAACAAGAAGATACCAGCTCTGGCTTCAGAGATACATAGCAAATTAAAGTCTAAAGTGGACCGTTCCCACTTGATGCTGTTCTGGGGACTACAGGAGCATGTGTTAGGACCTGGGGCACTCAGAGGACTCCCTGGTGGGGTCAGTACAAGAGAAGACACCCCCATTTGTGCTTCTGCTTCTCTCGGGAGTTTCTTCAGTAGGAAATGCACCCCCAAAAAGGACAGAACTAAGAAGCCAAACTACTACCCATCACTCAGAATCTATTTGCAACTCTTCCCTACCCTTTAATTCTCTGTCCCTCTTTCTCTCTCCCAACCCAATCCTCATGACTTAATTCCCTATTAGCCATAAGTCAACTGACCCTCTAACCCAGGAAGCTCTTCTCTAACTGCTGATTTCCACACAGAACCCCTCAGCCCCTCTCTGCTGACACATCAGAAGCCATAAGGGAACCTGGGAGTAAAGGCTGGCCACAGAGACAGAGTCCACACAGAAGGGCTGTGGGCCCAGCGACACCTGCAGACTGAAGTCCTCAACCCTCTACCTGGGAATGTGACCTTGTCTGGAAATCAGGCCACTGCAGATGGACCTGGACAGGTGAAGATGGAATCCTGATCCAACGTGACTGCTGTCCCCAGGAAGTGGAGAAATTAGGACACACCTGCACATATGGGGGGAAGCACCATATGGACATGATGCCAGGGGTCAAAGCATCACATCCACAAGGCACAGAATGGCAAAGACAGCCAGAAAACTTCCAGAAGCCAGGGGATGGGACAGAACTGTTTCCTTCGTAGTACTAAGTGGGACCACCCATCCTATACCCTTATCTTGGTCTTTAACCCTCAAGAATCATAGGCAGTACACTGCTACCTAATCCATCTTGTGTGTCTTAGGGTTTTCTTCCTCCACCTCCACACTGCTTACCGACTAGTCAAGAAGACAGGTACACATGGGCACCAGTGCCAGGGCCCCTCCCAGCTCCCACACCCATAATCACTAATCGATCAAGACATACCCATGCTGAGAATATATAAACAGGCCCCCAGAACCCCTCGCAACCCAGGAGTCCTGGAGAAGGCACATAAAGATCTATCTGAGAGAGTTGGCATGGGAATGGAAGCCAACATAGTGTTCTTAGACTAGTCGGGGCCCTACCAGGGCATGAGCAGCATTGCTGCCCCTTCGAATCTCTTCCGCCACCAGGCCTTCTGCTTTGTAAACTCAGGTACCCCACAAGCTGTATACCTAGCACATGCTTGCTCCATGGAATATATTTTAACCTTAGGGTTCAGGTCCAGGAGAGACAACAGGATGACAGCAGAATCTGAAAGGGCTTCCTGAGACCGGTTTTCATCGTGGGTCAAGACATTGCCACCTTCACTGTTAGCATGAATTTCTTCAACATCTGCTACCTCTGTAAGTCCCTGCTCCATGGAACCTGGGGTCGTTTGGATTCAGGGGTGGAAAAAGGATCCCAAAAAGTGCACATCCCAAGAAACTGCACACATGGACCATAAAGAACCCACAGGGATTATGGCAAGACTTGACTGCTAGGCATTAGGGTGCTCAAGATGATCAGGCCCCCAGGTCCCCAGTTACTCAGCAAGCTGCCCCTGATGGTGGTGAAGGTGAGCACACAGAAGGTTCCCGATGATGGAAGAACTCAGGCCAAGGTCTCTCAACCACGCCCCTCCTCTGTCCTAGCTTATTTCTGGTGTTCTGATAAAACTTTCTAACCAAAGGCAACTCAGGGGGGAAAAGGATTTGTTTGACTTATGGTGTGGGAGAAGTGTCTGTATTCTGTCAATCATGTTTTAAATAAATGCTGATTGGCCAGGCAGGAAATATAGGCAGGAAAACCAGGCAGGAAGTAGAAATGATGTAATGAGAACAGGAGAATTCTGGGAAGGAGGAAGTTGATTCTTCCCATTCCTGCCCAGATCACCAAAGCAGCAGGATGTGATCTGCCCCACTGAAAAAAGGTACTGAGCCACAGGGTTAACATAGATCAGAAAAATGGGTTAGTCAAGATATGAGAGTTAGCCAGTGAGAGGCTAGAACTAATAGGCCAATCAGCTTATCATTTATGGAGACCTATGTGTGATTTTCTTTGGGGTTAAACAGCTGTGGGGTAAAGGGCTAGACAGAAACCCCAAACAAACAGGCACCCCTCATGTTACAGACGTATACTTCGAGGTCACACTGCATTGCTGAGGAAAACTAAGGCAGGGACAGGAACATGAAGGAACATTGCTAGTTCACAAGCCCAGCCGGCTTTCTTTTTTTTTTTTTTTTATTTTTGGATTTTCGAGACAGGGTTTCTTTGTAGCCTTTGGTTCCTGTCCTGGAACTAGCTCTTGTAGATCAGGCTGGCCTCAAACTCACAGCGATCCGCCTGCCTCTGTCTCCCGAGTGCTGTGATTAAAGGCGTGCGCCACCACCGCCCGACTCCAGCTGGCTTTCTTATACAGCCCAGGATCATCTGCCTAGGGATGGTGCTGCCCACAGTGGGCTGGGATCGCCTGCCTCAATTAGCTACAAGACAATCCTCCCACATACATATTCACCTGCCAATCTTATCTAGACGGTTCCTCAGCTGAGGCTCCCTTCAGATGACCGCAGGCTGTGCCAAGCTGGCAATCAAAGCTAAGTAAGGCACCTTCCCTGGCTGAGCCATGTCCATCAGTTAACACTAGTTAAGGACATAGCATGAATTCAATGCTAAGAGATCTCACTGCGGTGCTCAGGATTTGAAAATCACCTTCAGGTCCATAGACTGTCACCCGGGAAGAATTTATTTGCAACTTAATGACTGCATTTGTAGTTCAGAAACAGTTCTGATTGACCATGATGTCAGGAAGCTGCTACCCACTGAAGACACCTTGAGGAAGTGCCCAGTGTTGTAACCCTTTCCTCCAATTGAAACATCGTCTCCTGGGGTAGCACAGAGGCTGGGGGGGACTGGGAAAGTTACAGGCACCTCCCCGAGGCTGTATGTGAACAATAGCAGGTCCTGGGGCAGGAGACATTGGTGGAGTGATTTGTCCACAGATTAGCCTTTGAGTTCCAGAGATGCAGTGTTTGTGAGTTGTCTGGGTGGACTTTGGATGCTGTAGCTGCCTTTGAGTCAGTCAGCCCAGTAAGCTCACCGTTTTTTTACACTAGACTCGTGGAATCATCTCTTTGGTGTGTTGTCAGTGTCTTATCTGGGGTGAGCAGACATTTAGTCATCTCCCTGGGGAGAGCGACGCAACACTTGCCCACCTGCCTCACTTCATCACAGAAGAGGACGAAGACCAGGGCATAGAGGATCAGCTCTGGCGTGTGTGGCACAGAGTGGAAGTCCATGAGCAGCACGTAGGCAAACAGCAGGAGGAAGGCAATGTAGAAGACCACGTTCCAGGAGAAGACCACGAAGGGCGAGGTGAAGAAGGCCACGTAGTACCAGAGCAGCTTCTTGTGCTTGTCAATTGGCTTCTTCCTGGACCAAGCCAGAGGTGGGGCAGAGTCACCATCCACACACACTCACACATAACAGACACACGTTCTCTCATTTACTCACATATATTCATATACACTGATACAGTCACTCACACATGCACACACAAACACACACACACACGCACACACACACACACACACACACACTGGTGCTACCCACCACAGACAAGGAACAAACAGGGAAAACTGGATCGAAATGCTGACCCAACCAAAACTCAACCTTTGTTTTTGTTCATTTGTTTTGTTTTGTCTTTGTTTCTTTTTTAGTTGGTCAGAGAATCCAAATTCAGTCTAAGATACTGAAGATGACCCCAGGCCCACCTGCTTGAAATCCAACCCAGAAAAATCCAGGGAAGATGCCAGACCATGCACACAGATGCCATAATGGATGTTCTAAGTTCTAGGCTTACAACCATTTGCACAAATGCTCAAACACATACACGCACACACATGCATGCACATGCACACACATGCACGCACACACACACCACAGATGCTCACACACACGATTAGATGCCCCAGTCCACACCTGAATGATACGAGGCCACAGCCCACCAGGGGGATGACAAATAGACACAGGATAATCTTCCAGTTCTTTGTGTCTCGGGAAATCTCTCCATACCATTGCTTAGAAAGAAAATTCTAGAGAGAAACAGAGACAGAGAACACAGTCCTTGTTGATTTAAGTATAGGAGGGACAGGACACTGTCATTTTTCCCATCCCTGCGCATTCCAGAAACATTTACCCCTATATTAATGTCTTTAATTTTTAAATGTTATCCGGATCCTAAGGCGTGAAGAAGCAACTTAAAATTCTGTTTGATTTTCGAGTCTTTTTTTTTTCTAAATTCAATTCTATTGGCTTTAAAAGAGAGTATTACATGAGTGAAACTCACTAAGCTTATGAATTTTTAACTACTATGACTCTTATTTGTGTAAGCTTAAACAAGTATGAGTCTTCAGTGACTGCTAAGTTCAAAGCCAGGGCCAATGCAATCTGTAGAGTCCCCAGAGATTCCTGTCTGGAGGCAGATGGATGCTTTTATTCTGAAGCTAAAAGGAAGCTGGGAAAACAGAGACTGATAGAGTCGAGGTGGTAGGCATGGAGACACATTCCCCTGACCACTGTGCCAGCCCCTGAAGGTGGGGCAGGAAGGGCTTCCATGATGGTGGAAACTGGAAACCCATATTACCACCAAAAGATAGGTGTGGGGATAAGGGACCAGACCACATCAAAGAAGCTCACAGCTGGAAAAACAAAACAAGCCAACCAGGTAGGGCTTAGCATATAGAGGAGGGCAGAGCAAAGGAAAACTGGGGCCCACTCATTGCCACTAAGAGGGTTGGGAATGGTGTACTATGGCCATAGTCCTGCATCTGCTCTCCTATTGGGCTTCTCTTGTGCTCCCTGCCATATCTTCTTGGGGTTACTCCACAGATATGTGCTTGGCTGAGGAGGGGCCAAGCTAGACCCCAGAAAGAGCACCAAGCAAGCAGCACACTGCAGTAATAAATACCCCGAGACTTGCAGCGGGCTCTACAAGGGACCCAGAGGCTCCCAAGAGCTCCAAGGGCCACCTTCCTTCTGAGCACATCATGTCTGCTTCTCCCTCCCCAAGCTCACCTCCTGTTAGTCATCTCTAGCTCACCTCTAGAGCAAACCACTTCACTGAAAGCCACGTGGGATAATGCAAAGTCTGAAGTTGGAGGCAATCCACAGAGGATCAAATCCTGGTGCCACTACTTCCTAGCAAGCAAGCATGGGAAATATTCCAGGACCTCTCTGAGCCCTGAGTCCTCAAAATAAAATGAATTATGCCCACCTCCACAAGCATGGTGCAGAGGAAACACGTTACAGGCATGGTTCTCCCCCCATCCCTGCCTGATCAGCCCTACAGTGTCCCAGGGCAACTGTGGGTGCACTTAAGCTGCTGCCTGCTTAACCTGCCTCAGGACCAGCCCCGCCCGTCTCATGATTCCTCCATCACTCATGATAACCGTGATGACCACAGTGGCAGCAGCTGACACAGCCGACCTTCCCTTTCATACAGAATTTCATGGCATCACTATAGCAACTTTCTGACAACCGCAGCTGCTGCTGTTTGGACAAGAAATCCCCCACAGGCTCTCGGGTCTGCCTGGTGGTGTGGGCCACGGAGGGCGGGCCTTGTAGAGGTCCCAGTCCTTGTGTCTGTCCTCTAATCCACAGGAGTGCAGCATCAGCACCATCTCTGCTACACTGGGTTGAAACTGTGAGCCCAAATATGTCTGTCCTCATTTAAGTTGCCTCTGTCATACATTTTGTCACAGAGAAATACCTGATATGCATGACTGTGCCCATTTCACAGAGAGAAACTGGGATCCACCATATAACATCTGCTTTAGTGGGCTAAGGCCCTGGCAGAGGGACTCAGAGACAGCTCATCATTACAATGTTGTACTATTTGCTTGGTGGAAGCCCAAAGAATTCCTCCTTGCCATGTGTCTTAGCTTCATTTCTGCTGTTGTGATTAAAAAATAAAAAGGGGAGGACAGGGTTTATTTTAGCACACAGTCCCACATTACAGTCCATCATTTTAGGGAACTTGAAGCACAATCACATCCACAGTCAAAAGCAGAGAGAAATTAATGTGTACTTAATATTCACCTAGATTTCTTTATTCATCTAAGGTCCAGGATCCAAAACTAGGAAACAGTACCACCCATAGTGGGCAGGGTCTTCCCACATCAGCTAAGGCTATCAAGGCAACCCCCCCCCACACACACACAGATACACCCACTGACCAACCTATCTAGACAATGCATCTCTGAGATTCTTTCTGGATGATTCTACAGTATGTCAAGTTGACGATTAAAGCTAGGCACCACACTGTGATTTGGGTCTTAGATATTTTCCCAAGATCCATCACTAAAGGCATCGTTTCCAGTGTGACACTTGGGAAGGTGGTTCAATCTTTAAGAAGATGGGACTAAGGGGGATGTCTTAGGCTACTGGGGGTTACTCCCTCGAAGAGACTTTGGTTCCTCCTCTGCCCCTCACCTCTTTGCTTCCTATCTGCCAAGAGGTATCTACCTCTACCACAGCTGTGGCCATAATGCCCTGTCTCATCATGCATTCAGAAGCAATGGGCACAGCCAAGCATGAACTAAAACCTTCAAACCTTGTGGACCCAACTAAACCTCTGCTCTTTTTAAGGTAATCACCTCAGGCATTTCGCTACAGCAGTGGAGAGTTGACCGGTGCACTCCTGTGCCGTCTCTTGAGGTGAGGCTTTCCACAAAAGCATATGTCTCCTCATCTTTCACATTGTCACCCAGGGAACCCCTCAGTGGCTTTTACACGGGATGAGGAAGGTGGACTCCTAATGCCATGTCCTTAATACTACTGGTAGCATGTGCTGTCAGACACGTTCCTGGGCATAGTTTTCAGGGCCCAGCCTTCGCTTACCTGGACCCCAGGCTGAGCAATAAAATGCTGGTCTGTGGCCTCCACCGCCAGCTCCAGGCAGTTGCTCCCGCCCCAGGCTTCACAGGAGTAGACCAGCAGCTGCTCTGCCAGGTCTTCATCGTTGCTGTAGCACTCGGTGAACAACTCTGTATTGTCACGGAGAGGAGGGCTGGGCTCAGCTGGTAGACGTGGAACCTGGCCTGCCTATGCCCCATCAAACCCTGAACAGATGGGGCATGAAGACCCAGGCATGCAGAAGGCATAGGAAAAGCTAACCAAATGGCACCCTTGCTACATGGATGACATAGCATAGTCGGCAGGGCTCTTTAATGTAGAGGGTGTTGTTACATGCTTATGGAACTGAGCTGCCTCCACCACCTAGGGAGGGCCCTCTCTGATGGGTTCTGTCTGGACTCAGGCAGAAGGGCCTTGCTCTCAGGGAAGGCCTCAGGATTCTCTATCTCTCCTTACCTAAAACAGCCCCTCCTCCCTTCCATTTCTCTCCCAAGCCTTCTGGGTGAGACATCTTGGCAAATGCTGTGGGATACTCACCCACAGCTCGGGTTTCATATTCATTGGCCAGTTCCTCGGATTCCCCAGCAGCATTGATATCATTCTTGACTTTAGCCAGGGTCTTCAGAAGCTTGCTGGCTCCCAAGGCTGCCAGAGTACAGCCTTTGGTCTTTAAGGGGGTGCAGGGATGGGGAAATGTTGGTTAATTCATAGTCTCTTGAAATATTGACATTAACTTTTGAAAAGAATAGACAAGCAGGAGATGGCAAAGTCAACTACTCATTGTGATTCCAAGTCAAGTCTGAGATGAGCTTGGAACAGACTTGGACCTCAGTAAACTATCAGTGGTCTTGTAGGGAGAATCAGCGTCTAAAAAGAAAATACCTGGGTAAGTATTGGGGGCCATTCAGCCTCTGATGGCAGGAAGCCTGACTGACCCCTTATCTCAACGTTATCATACTATAACAGCCAGGATACAGGGAGGAAAAATAAGAACATTGAAGACCTGCACCATGTAACTGAAGGCTGTGTCTGAATTCAGCAGTCAAGGATGGAAGTGCATACGGAAGCATATTTATAGAAACTGTGATGTACCAAACCACAGAGAAAAGTCTCAATAAATACTTTAAGCAGAATGTTTATAGGTCCTACCTCCGGTTCATAATGGAATTAAGCGAGAGATCATTGGTTTTACTTTAATCTTATTATTACTTAGTTCTGAGGATCAAACCTAAGGCCTTGTGCATGTGAGGTAAGGGCTAAGAAATTAATTCCTTTTTTAAATCAGTAAATAAATTTGAATTTAATGTATATAGGGAACCTTTTAAATTGTATATGTAGTTCAGAAGTGAATTGAATATTTAACTGGGTAGTACTTAATTAAAGTTTGAAATCTGCCGTCTTAATTTGGCTGAGGTTGTTGTCTCTTACCATAGTTGATAACCTTCTAAAATTCCCATATCATCACAATGCAATTTTTGTTACATCACTGAGGATCCAACAATTCTTTATTCTATAATAACAGACTAGACTTGAGTTTTAACTAGACTTGAGTTTTGACCATATGATTTGTTTAATTTTTTGTTTTAATATTGTGAATAAATTTGAAGAGAAATGATTTAGCAAAAACAAAGTAAGATTTGGAAAGAAAGGTTTCTTTGATGAGGGGTACACTTCTCTGTGGGTCTAAGGGTAAGGATTTACAATGCAGTTAGAAATAATACTGGTTTAGGAAAACCAGGGTATGAGGCTCTCCTCTGAGACTCATGACTTAGCCCCTAGGCAGCTGGCTATGTTTATAGTGCCAGGCATGACTTAACTGCCTGTTAAAAAGTCCTTCTGTCCAATTAGAGAGATGTTGGTTATCGCCAAGTTCTTAGCGCCACCATTGCACCTTGAGGAATATCTTGCCATTCTGTCCATGGTTGTGTTTCAAGGGCATCACAGCTTGGGAGGGCTGTTAATTGCTCCCTTCCCTTGGCCGCTTGTCTAGCACCTTCAGATACTATGGAAGCTAGACCTATGGAAGTATGTTTCCACATCACATCCACCTCAAGTCTTCCAGGTCCTATATCCAAAGTGTGCAGTTTCTTCATCAATAGGTATGTGGTAGCTTCAACCTCTGGGAAATAACCAAGGGCAATGCCAATAGTATGTATTGAATTGGGGACCAGAAACTAATTTCTTAAGTTGCATTTCAGAGCTTCTTATAGTTGGGGGGAAAATCATGCAGAGGAACCTGGGGAGCAGGAGTGGACTGGGGGACCCTACCTTTCCGGGGACCACCCATCCTAGGCACACCTCCAAGGACGTGCAGACAGAGGCACAGGTGTGGTCCTGGGCACCAGATGCCCCAAGTTTTAAACTAGGCACGAGTGTAGGTTAGACCAGACTCCTGGGACACAGCATGCATTTGGCATCAATTCCGTGTGGGCCTGGACGTTTACCTGCTCCCAAATGACCTTGGAGAGTTCCTTCTTGTTCTGGAGGATGGCCCAGATGAAAAGAGCTTGCAGGGGGTGCCGGGTGGTGAGAGATGCATCCTGAGAGGGGTGAGAACATGGGTTCACCACATGCAAATGGAACCCACTTTCGGTGCACTGTTTTAACAATGAGATGGGGTAGTCGGAAAGCATGAGAAACAGGCCCTCTGCTCGGAGACCTCTGGGACTTGGGGGCTGAGTCTGTTTTAGCAGCACAGTGGTGTGATTCTCATTGCTCACTGTCGCTCAGCAGGTGGTGTGATTTGACACAAAATCTTTCATCCAGCATCAAAGACAAAGTACAACTGTGTGGGAAGGTAAAAGCGGGGGAGGAGAGCCAAGAGCAGTTCAGAGACTAAATGACTTCTGATGCACCGTGGAGAAAAGTGATTCCTCTCCGTTCCACAGATCAGTTTCTCAGACAGAGGGGGAAGAAAGGTGGTCAGATGGAATCCAACTCTCCTGTGCCTTGTATTCAATTGTCACCAAGTAGAATGTGCTCATTTCCTTGGGCTGCCGTTCAAAGATTGGAGGTCTAGCTCACATTTAAGATTCTGTATCTTCAAGGAATATTTTCAGATGGAAAGTGTGTGTGTCCCCTCCTACAGCTCCCCTCTTGATTTGACTAAACTCTACACTGAACATGTGAACCCCAGGTAAGTACTGTGTTTCAAATTTTAACATAAATAATGTCAAACAGAAGATACACACTTTCAATTCAACCACACACTGAGCTCATTTACACACACACACACATACACACACACACACACACACACACACACTTAAAAATCTCAGCTACAAATGCTAATGACACAAATCTCAGAACTCAAGTGGTAATGATCTAGTTTAGGTTTCCCCAGAAGCAATCCTGAGATTAGAATTTGAGCAAAGTTTTTTATTTAGAGAGTGAGGAAATTAAGTCAGGAAAGAAAGAGGCCAATAGAAGGCACATGGCCAAGCAGGCGGCCATGGCTGTGTTGCCAGAAGCTCACTGCGGCCATGCTCCTGAATCGTCTCCTTTAGGTGAGGGGCAATCGGGGCATTCGCTAGCCCTGGAACACTTATCAGAGCAAACGCTGGCGATGACTGATGATGCTGTTGATGGAACTGGACCTGCCCATATGCAGAAAGGAACCCTGCGGCATTCACATCTGCCCTAGCGGAAATATCCACGACTCCATTTGTCCACAAAACTACTGGCAGCCCTTCATTCTTTCACCTGGGCAGCAGGGAGCTGAACCCCGAGCGGAAAGCCATCTGTCTGTCCCTGTTCCCCATCAAATAGCCTCGGAAAGTGTGCCACACAAGCCCTGTGATCTAGAAATGATGGATCCAAACAGAGCCAGGGACTAGAGCCAGACGTTAGAAAACTTACCAGTGACTTTATTCTTTTGGAAAGATGGTAGAGAAAATGCATGCTACCCTTCCAGCTGCTTTACGGCAATCAGGAAGAGAACGGGAAAGATGGAGGCAGAGAACGGAATTCTGGGAAATGGAAATATGGACGCAGAGAACTGAATTCAGACAGCTCCACTGTTTTTACCATTACGTACATGGAGTTCCACATCCAAGTCCTCCCGACTGCTTCTGTCTTCCTTCCAGAAGCTTCTACGGAAGTTAGCCACCAGCTTCCAGACGAAGGTGAGGAGCGCATCGTTGTAGGAGTTCTTGGCGATCTGCAGGTTCCGGTACACGAGGGTGCTGAAGTGGGCGGAGAAGAGCTCCGTGAGGACGTCGTTGGTGAGAAACTTCTGCAGATTCAGGCCGTTCTCCAGGAAAAGACGGACAAACTTGGGCCTGTCCTTTATGAGCGCCGTGAACATGACTTCCTGCAGGTCAGCCGACTGAAGAGAAAGAGCAGGAGAGAGCATGTACCGTGAGATCAATAAAGAAAACACAAGGTGTTTCTGTATTTCAGCCATAGAGTCCCAGGATCTCCAGATTCTCTCTCCATTCTGCTTTGACAATAAAATTCACTTTTCAGCCTCTAGGTGGGTGAACACCAAGGTGGAGACTTTGAATGTGACCTGGGCTCTTTCTTAGGTGGAGATAGCATGCCCACTGAAGCGCGACACGGGCCAGGAGCTGATCCAGGCACTCGGCATGAAAAGCATCAGGGAGCAGAAGCCAATGGTGGGCGTCTACAGTAGACACTGACTGTGAACCAACTGCCCATGCTACAGTACACACTGTGGGATCTGATGCCCCCCTAGGTGAACTCTGACCTTCTCTACAGTGACAGTTGTCAAAACAGAACCCATCAAGCCACATACTGTCTAGGAAGGATCTGGGCTGTGACACAGCAGTGAGTCCCTGGACCCTGGATCAATACTATCTTAGTCCCTAGTAAAAGTTATCCTACAGAGCTTTTCCAGGAATCCTTTCTGTTTTCTTCTTATTTGGTTTTAGACAGCATCTTAGCGTGGTATCCCAGGCTGGCCTGAAACTCACTACATAATCCATGCTGGCTTTGGATTCATAGCAATTCTCCTGTATCAGCCTCCCCAATGCTGAGATGACAGGCAGGAGCCATGATGCCTATCCTTCCGAAGAGTCTAAAGAAAGATCAGTGCTCACTTCAGCCACAGTCCAGGAGGTGCGCAGCTCTTAGGTGCAATATAAGACTGCCGCGATATTTATTATGAGTTAGTTTCATTGCCAATACTCACAGATTCAAAGGGCCTTTAAGATCCTATTTTTTAGCATTAAAGGAGGAAAGTACAAAGTCTGACAACATGAAAACCTCCAGAAGAAGCCTATGGCGTCTATTCTCAGAAACCTAGGCCCCCTGGTGCCCACTGACTCCATGACTCCACCCTAACCACAGCCTACTTAACTCCCTCAGTTCCTTGGCTGGCCCTCATTTTAATGGCAGCATTGGTGGTTTTTGTGTCTGTCTGAGGCTGTTTTCATAGACTCACATTTTGCTTAGGGTAAATTGTTAAGGGTTCCTTGGATTCCTCCACTCTTTAGATCTCTCTGGGTTTAACACCTGGGGAGCATAGCATCTTCTCCACTGTACTCTAAGCATTATAAGTGTGTGTGTGTGTGTGTGTGTGTGTGTGTGTGTGTGCGCGCGCACGTGTGTGCCTTCCCATTGGTCCCACACTGGACAGCTTGGTGCAATGGTTCTCAAACATGGGAACTCGCTACAGCTGACTGCCGTAGTCAACCTTGTTTCTAACTCAGCAAGCTTGAGTTAGACACCACCCAGCAACTCACACCACTAACACTGTCACTCGTCCTAGGACCACACTGAGAACCTTAGTTATTATGTAAACTTACACGATGTGATTTCTCATGACTATAGTCAACAAGTAACTCCCCCAAAATCTCTGGAAAATTTAGCAGCTAGTTTTTGCAAGCCAGTATGAGCTGGCTTCAGCATGGCACTGTGAAAGGGAACTGACCCAGTGTGTAGTTGAGAACCTTGCCCAAGGACACACAGACACCCACTCCAGCACTCAAACCCTTACCCACTATGCCCTTCATCCTAACCACCTTCAGCTGAGTTAATAAAATTAAATGTATAATGCTATTATGTGTTTGAGTTTATTTACCACCTGACCTTATTTAAATAGGACAATGTACACAGAGGGATTTATTTATGAACCAATTAATTAATGCACTCGCAGCTCTACTTGCCCTCCATTAACGAAAGCCTTGTGATGTGTAATGGGGTTCATTATGGTGCAAAGACCAAACGCAAGACAATGTTTGCTAAAGGGATGAATAACTCAAAAATTCATGAGCCATTACTACTTTCACTACTCTCATTAAAATTGATCATATGTTAATGTAAATCAAATCTTGGTCTTTGATGATACAGTGGTTTGTGTGAGAGGGCTTTCTGAAGCTGGCTGCTGGAGATGGCAGCTTGAGTGATGCCAGCCTTCAAATCCATCCATACACATGTACAGTCAAATACAACCTCACTGCCCATAATGACTTCAATTAATTGAGAAGAGTTGAACACAAAGATGCACCCTTGTAAATCTCTGTCTGATGGTTTAACTGGTGCTTCTGAACCGAGCCACCAAGGCTGATTGAACTTTAGATGCATACAAGCAGTATCCCATAAATGGGGTCTCAAAACATGAAAATATAGAAAAGTGACCTGCTGGAAACTTAAAGATTTTAACTACACATGCAACTTCCATATTGGGGGGGCTTATTTGACACAGGGAGTTCCTGGTGCCTCACTCCAAGACACTGGTGGATGTCCTCAGCAAAGCTATTCCACCTTTCCCTCCTACCTCCCACCCCTGACAAATCTGTTATCTGAATTTGGCTGGGTGTGGAGGGGGCAAAAGAAAGTTGCTGCCTTGATCTTTTTAGTCAAGCCAGATCAATAATCCCATGTCTCTGGTCCCCATACCTCAACCCATCCACTCCTGACAACAGACCCATAGCTCCAGACGAGATGATCTTCTCTCATCTCCTGGCAACAGGATTATTTATACATTTAGGACGGCTTACTTTAGAGTCTTTGGTTAGATTATCTGTTTGCAAGAAACCTACTAAGTCAACATCATTATCCCATCCTACAATCAAGGAAAGGGAGGCTGGACACCACTTATCTGCTAGAACAAAGCAATCATTAATCATTAACAAGACTCTAGATTGATGACCTTGTTGGACACAACCATCTACTGTTGAGACCAATGTCCATGCTAATCCAGGAATATTCCCAGAGGCTTCATTACCTCCCATCGGCGGTCGTTGGTGAAGATCTCATCACTGGCAAGGTCCAATTGGTTCCACTCCAGTAGAAGCTTCAGTTGCCCGTTCCAATTGTCCTTGTCTTGCTCATTAGTGCTAAAGGCTAAAAGTGGACAGGGAGAAAACCACAGCCACACATAAGGAAGCCAGGCCACTAATATCCTCCAAATATTAGAGCCACTTGTCAAAGCGGGTCTCTTGGAATCAGAGGAAACTGTCTTTCACACTCATTCTTATCTACATTGCACATGCCCAGAAGCCTGTAGTGATCACCCCAGATCATCATATCTTTCTATTACATATGAGTATAGTATAACTAGGATATATTGATATTTCTATAGATTGAGACTCCATAAGTATTATATTCTGAAATTGTATCTGACTTATCCTATGTCTAAATCTACAAAATAATGAACCATATTGCAACAATGTATTTGTTATGATTTGAGTGTAAAATGTTCCCCCTAAGCTCCTGGACTTGAACACTTGGTCTCTAGCTACCGGCACTGTTCCCAGAAGCTGTGGAACCTTTAGGAGTCATGGCTTAGTTTGAGGAAGTGGTTCAAAGGGAGGCAGGTCTTACAGGCCCAATTTCCAACTCAATCTCTTTGTTTTCTCTTCTCTCCCCACTTTTTCTTCTCATCTATCTATCTATCTATCTATCTATCTATCTATCTATCTATCTTCTCTGTATACTTTACATTTATTGGTTAGGTATTTCAATCCAGAAGGCAAGGCTTTGCTATTTACTATAGGTAATTACACTTAGGTGGAATTCTTTTCCGAGACACGGTCAGTCTCACTATATAGCTCTGGCTTTCCTGGAAGACAAATTTATAGTCCTATGTAGACCAGGCTTGCTTCAAATTCACAGAAATCCACCTGCCTCTGCCTTCTTGAGGCTGGGATTCAAGACATGCACCATCATGCCCAGCTCACTTTGATGGAATTTTAACACAGCAAAGACTAAAAAGAATTGTTTTACCTGGTGGTCAGTCATTAGCTTCAGGAGATATGTGAGCCCCTGAGGTTGAATTATAAGGTGTGTGTGTGTGTGTGTGTGTGTGTGTGTGTGAGAGAGAGAGAGAGAGAGAGAGAGAGAGAGAGAGACAGAGCATGTGTACATGTGAAGCATATATGCACACACCCCCGCAGGTACAAAGTCTTTACAACACATTTAAAGGGGTCTGAGACTTTAAAAGTACTTTAAACCACTGATAGAAACAGCGTTTGCAGATGACCTTGGTTACATTTGATCAGCCTTTTAATGACATAAAATTTCTTCTGTGAAATTCACCTTAGAGAGCAGTCATCTTACCCTCCAAGGCTGTACTCCCAAGGAACTGACTCCACTCACCTTTGTACAGTGCATAGGAAATGGCGTTGCTCACAACCTCGTCTCCTGCCTCTTCCATCTTGATAACTGTGAGTAGGTGGGGACACTCAAGAATTTCTTTGAGCTGGTAATAGGTCAGGAAGAATATTGTCAACCAACTGGTCTTGAGCATGAGGAACATGACCCTTTTAAAGGTATCTATTCTTTCACAATTTCATACATACATGTATATACAATATACTTTGATCCTGACCCCCTATTATCCTCTCTTGTTCCCTCCCCCCTCTCTAAACCCTTCCTTCTTCTCAACAGACCTCCCTTCTACTACTTGGAAATGTGTGTGTGTGTGTGTGTGTGTGTGTGTGTGTGTGAGTGTACATGTGCATATACGTGTGTATGTGTGAATGAAACAAAGCCTGACACACTAAAGATACCAATTGTCTGGTAAGTAAATTAATGCAGAACAGACAACAGAAGACTGTGGAAACCTAAGTGTTGTTGGTCATAGAGTCTGAAAGAGGAGGAAAAAATAGCTTAATGACAATCAAGAAGCGGGAGGACTTGGTGCTAGAGATAGCAATAGCTTACGTTATCCTTTATGAGAGATAAATATATTATCCTTTGTGATTTTTCTGCAGTATTTAAATTTGAAACAGGTTTTTTGAAAAGGCATCTAATTTCAAGGCTCCAGGTACTGGCAAGGATGAACTTCTACCTGGAAGAACTTCTATGGGAGGCCTGCTTTGGTTAGCTTCAGTTATAGATGATGGTGATTTCCCTAGCAAAATCTAGAGCTGGACCTTCCTGATCTCAACAGGGTAAAAACCAGGGGTCTTGGGCTCTTGCTTCAGGAAGGTAGCAAGGGGTTGAGAAAGTTCTTGGGCCTGGCTATCAGGAGGTGAACTTTTAAGGCCTCTGTTCATTGAGAAGAGTGATGATGAAGATATGGGTTCCAAAGATGTGCACCCAATGGTCAGGGGGAGATCAACCAGAGTTTCAACAAAACACCAACCGTGAGGATTTTTGAGGGAGAGGAACAGATGAGCAAAGAAGGAAAGATTCTTCACCATGCGTGCAGGCTTTTGCTCAAGCCAAAGGAAAGGAATCCCGAGACAAACGATTGGCAAGGAAACAGATCTAGGGCCCAGGGTTATGGAGCACATGTAAAGTGGGCAACTCTGTGGAGGTAAGACATCTTTGACTTTGCAATGGAAAGAGAAGAAAGCAACTACAGATACAAAGCACAGTAGCAGACCTGGAGAGGGTTCCAAGGACTCTCTAACTGGGTTCCCATCTCCCCCTCCCTGAGCCTGCTGCAACCAGCGTGAGAGCTCCTGGATGTAAGCCAGATCTCATTTTCTCCTTGCTTCTGGGCTTTTGGTGGTATCTCATGACAGTTGATTAAGACCCAAACTTGAAAACGGTGCTCAGAGAGGTGCCTGTTCTGGACTCTCACACGCGCTTCAGCTTCCACTCACAATTGTACCTCCTCTGCCATCACTCAGTTCTTCCTCTGTGTCAGCTTCTCACCTCAGGACCCTTGTACATGCAGTTCCCATCATCATGATGCCCACCCTCACCCCCCCCACTCACTCTCCATCATTCAGATACTGGTTCCCACATCACTTCATCTCAGAGCCTTCCACAAAGCCCCACACCATAACACATCCATCTATCCATCTCTATCCATGCCATCTTTCTTCAGAATACCCCAAGCTGGTTTATAATGGTGCTCCACTTGACAGGATCTAGAACCACCTAGAAAACAAACCTTTAAGCAAGTCTATAAGGAACTGTTTAGATGGGGTTAAGAGGAGAAGACCCAGCCTAAATGTGGGTGATACCATTCCATGAGCTGGGGTCCAGGGCTGGATAAAAAGAATGAGAGCTGAGTATCAGCATTCCTTTCTTTCTCTCTCTCTCTCTCTCTCTCTCTCTCTCTTTCGATTTTAACTACAGAGGCAATGTGATCAGCTGTCTCATGCTCTTGCCACCATGCTTTTGCTGCTGTGATGGACTGTAGCCCCTATGACTGTGAGATAAAATAGATCCTTCCTTTTTTTAAAGTTATTCCTTGCCAGGTACTGTTCACAGCAAAGATAACAGCAACTAATGCATACCTATTCCAGTTGGAAAAATATAGTGATATATATTTCACACAAGGTATTTTTCAACTTACGTTCCCTATGTGAGGCCATAGACTATTTCTGACATACACACAATTCTTGGTGTGACCAAACCAAATCTAGCACATGACATACACATAATAAGAACTTACCTAATGAACAGAAGATGAAATAACTTTAGATGTTTGAACGGATGGTATATGGCTAATATTCAGATACTATGGAAAGTCAAGGTCTTGGTGGGCTCGGAGTATGTATGTGGAAACAGTGTGAGAAAGCTGTTGGGGAGAAGGGGAGCTCCCAGGTGGAGAGGGATTTCTTGGAGAGACAGAGAAAGGATGTGTTCAGCTTTGATGATCAGCCATTCACATGACTAGCGAGGTCACTCAAGACTACATTGGTAGGCTGCTTATATAGTTCACTGATTTACATATTTATTAATTAATAATCCTACTCTCAAGTTTGGTCTTTTGGGAAATCTGTACCAATTTCACAATTCTATACGAATGCATAGCTAAAATGCCAGAGCAATTTCCATTTTTATGTATGTCTTCTGGTTGACATGATTAGAAATAAATATATTTAATTAGATATGAATATAAATTAGATATGAATCACAGGAATGATAATATAATCAAAGGCAGCCAAATTAGCCTGACATTTAGCTTAAGATGAATTGCCTGCGATGGTTTCCTTGAAGTAGAAATCCAAATCCCTCATAAAGAATAGAGGAACCATTGGGACTGTCCTGGTTTTTGGATGTGATGTGAACCAGATGATATGTGTCAACTTTTAGAAGAGTTAAAAAGAAAATCTACTGGGATGGACCCAAGTCTGTGTTAGGTAGACAAACTAATAGTTCTCTATTCCCTCCTCTCTGGGTATTCTTATACTGGCTACTGAATTATTTTTACCCACCTCAGGAAATAGAGAGGGTGAAGTAGGAGCTGCGGGCTGCATTCCCAGCGCCCAGCCACCCGCATGGTTAGCTTTACCAGAAATAATTACATGGAAACTGTATTCTTTTAAACACTGCCTGGCCCATTAGTTCCAGCCTCTTATTGGCTAGCTCTTACATATTGATCTAACCCATTTCTAATAATCTGTGTAACACCACAAGGTGGCTCACCAGGAAAGATCTTAACCTGCTTCTGTCTGGAGTGGGAGAATCATGGCTACTGCCTGCCTCGGCTTCTTTCTCCCAGCATTCTGTTCTGTCTACTCCACCCACCTAAGGGCTGGCCTATCAAATGGGCCAACGCAGTTTCTTTATTAACCAATGACCTTCTTCCATCAAGAGGGGCAATAAACATGCAACAAATTAACTAAAACTATCCAGGTATACAGTATTTCCACTTCAGAGAGTGAGCACCCTTGTGTATGGATTTCCATGTGGAAAGATTATCAAGGGATGAGTGACCTGGCCACTCCCCACCACTTCACTATCTCCGGATAGACAGCAGGTTTGACCTTCCCTGGCTGGATCTTTGATGGTTCTCTTCACTGGTATCTGTTTTTTGCAGAGCATGACACTCTGGTGCAAGGAGGCCAGTGTTTATCACATACTGACCGTGATGTGTGCGCTCAACCAGTGCACTCTGGGACTCAGCACAAGGAAGGATGCAAACGGCTGAATTGCTTCTCAGCCTCTTTGTTCAGTTTTGCCTTCACCTTCCATAAATTACAATCTTCATCTCCATTCCCCTGATTCTGTGCTAGACTTAGATGTGATTGAAAAAAAAAATCCCTGCAAGAAATTTCCTACAAAGCTACCAGTTTTACCTTTTGGTGGAAAAATCTGAAAAATGCAATGTCTCGGTAAGGAGATCATACAAGCCATTGCTAGTCAAGGCCTGGCCCAGTGCAGGTGCTGTCTCTCAGCTGTAGAGGTGAAATTCAACCATAGTTCTAAGCTGCAAATTTTAGACAATGGAGCTTAATCTAGAAAGGGCTTGTTATCTGACCATTTTGGATCCCACCGTCCCATCAGGCTTACAAAGCGAGCCATCCTCTCAGGTAAATTAAAGGAGGCCATTAAGGCCCTGCTCTGTGGGAATTAGTAAAGAGTGCCTAGCAACAGAACGTGAGACATTCTTCCATCCCAGGAACCCCCAGCATCTTCCCCAGACTCACAGATCTGATCCAGCTCTCGATCTCCTCTTCAGGCAGCCGGGACACAGTGCGTGGTAAAAACCGCACCAGCTTCTCTTTGACCATGGAAGAGGTCAGAACATCCTCCACCTCCACCAGGCTGGCAATCACGTCAGCAATCTGCCCGGAGCCTTCCACCACCACACAGGGGATCTTACTTTTGATGGAGGTGTTGATGGCCTATGAGAGGGAGAAAGAATTGGACATGCAGAAGGGGCGGCAATGAGCAACACAACCTAGCTCAGGACCGAGGCTCTAAATCACAAGATGCTCTGATGCTTCTTACTGCTTTTCTCTCCACAGCTTTGTGATGGAGAAAGGTCATTGACTAATAAAAAAACTGCCTTGGCCCATTTGATAGGCCAGCCTTTAGGTGGGTAGAGTAGACAGAATAGAATACTGGGAAGAAGGGAAGTGAGGTCAGAGACGCCATGCCACTCCCCAGGGCAGACGCAATGAAGCAAGCCGCCAGGTCAGACATGCTGAATCTTTCCTGGTAAGACTGGTGCTACACAGATTATTAGAGATGGGTTGATAGGGATATGAGAATTAGCCAGTAAGTGCTAGAGCTAATGGGCAAAGCAGTGTTTAAAAGAATACAGTTTGTGTGTTGTTATTTCGGGGCATAAGCTAGCCAGGCGGCCAGGAGCTGGGTGGCAGGAACACAGCCCGCAGCTCCTTCAACAGCTTTGATTTCAAACCAACATTGAACCAACTGTAGCGGCTTTATGAATGGGAGAAGTGAACCAGTTGTTTGACATCCTGAGAAAAATGAAAGTCTACTATTATTACTAGTGGCCCAACTGCTCAGGCCATAGCCTGGAGGGGAATTCTAGTCTATTCTAATAAAATTATAAAGTCAAAGCCTAGAGTAGAGAGTAGTAGCAACAAACTTTCTTTCTTAGCTGGTGTTCCCAGAAGCCTCTCTCCTTCCACACCACCCCAACTTAAATAGATAAAAAAAATTATACCCTTCCCTGCTACTTCCTGTCAACCAGTTGCTAACCCCGCCTCTCTGAGCCTAGGTTAATTTTATTTAATTAACACAAATGCAACACATCTTTACATAGTTAAACAAATGCAGCATAAACCAATGTAACACCTCTTTGCCTGGTTAAACAAATGTTCCACAACAAAAACCCCTGCGATAATTCACGCCTTCCATACAAGGGTACTTTGAAAATCACCTTACGTACAGAATGGTTCACTCCCCAAACTGGTGTGACGCGTAAGTGGCAATTGTGAAGGTTTGATCCCACACAGTTGTATCGATAACTTATCTAAAGGAAGCTATCAGTGCCCTGGGAATACTTTAAAAGCATCCAGCAGTTACTGTGTTGGCTCCATCATTGCCCCCTTCACTTACTGCAAGAAAGCGAAATAGATGTGCTTTGTGAACAAACACCTCTCGCCCTGATGTGTTCTTTGCAAGAACTTCAGGAGGTGGAAGAGGGGCCTCAGAATCTTTATCTCCTGACTTCATGATCAAAGGATTAAGCTACACATGGGCACAGAAGAACCTGAAAGTCCCCTTCTTTAGAGGCTGAAGGCTTTCCGTGGAAAAGACACAGCCTGTTGCGCCAAGACTGTGGGGCTATGAGGAGTGTGAGGGAGCAGCCTGGCAGCCCATCCACATCCTCAGAACCCCAGAGGAACAGAAGCACAAGTGCTGGGTGGCAGCTAAAAGATGTGGAGCCAAGGAGCCCAAGAAACATTAGTTCGATGTTAGTTGGCGTCCTGATCTCCGGTCCCTGCTTCCGAGGAATGGGAATAAGCGATACAGGTCTTCGCAGTTGATACTGGAGAGACCCCCGCCATTAAGTTGCAGTGGGAAAAGAAACTTCTTCCCTTCACCCTAGAACAAATCTTTCCAAATCTTAAGTTTCAGAGAAAGAATAGGCATGCAGCCAGCTCCCAATCCATCTCTCTTATTTACCATCTCTCTCTACATCTTTAACCTGCTACCACTCTCTGTCTCCTCTTTATTTTTTCTCATTTATCAGTGCTTAAAGAATTTCAGACAGTGCATTTTGATTAAGGTCACTCCCTTCCTCCAGCTCCTCCCTGGTCATTCCCTGTTTCTCTATCCAATCAATAAGTGGGCAACAAAGGCCTTACAAGTCACCACAGGCTAATAAATTAAAAGTTCAGGGACGTGAATGGGTTACCTTTTTAGGGAGTTGGCCAGTGAGGTTCCACAGACCCCCAAACACTACAGGGTATTGTACCTGACAGTAAGCCTATTGCTAAAGACACCACCCACACGAGCTATGGAACACAGAGAAACCAAGCTAATGCTGACCCGAACGCCTCATCTCTACTAACTAACTAACACACACACTGCAGGGAAGTGTTGCATATACAACCAGAGTAGAAAAGTAATCATCTATCTTACCCAGCTATGAATCCTGGGGGGCTACAATAGCAACCGGGCCGGCAAGACATGCCCACTGGTACAATAGAAGCATAAATGTCATGGGAGTTAGCAATCCCTTTCTGATTGGAGCTAAGACCTACTCCACAGGATGAAACCACATCCTGTCACTGGGGACGGGAATCTGTGAGAAGACACCCAGGCCCTAGCGGAGAACCTGTGACTGTCACTCTGGTAACTGGGTATAGGGTTACACTGACTGCTATGAGTCACTGCTACACCCTGAGATTAGTGCATCAGTCAAGCTTTATTGGAGAAGCATCTATTCGCAGGAGACGGCGATTAACACAGAGACTAGTCCATCCACAGCTGGGCAAAGAATGAGAGACGGCAGACGGCTTGGCCCTAAGTGGGATGTCTATTTCACACCCTCTCTCCCCACCTCCTCTTCATAAGGCTGCTTTGTCCACGCTTATCCAGTGATCATTTCACAGATCAATTTACTTGTTCCCTGAAATTCCTTTAAAAACATTTTTCGTTCAAAGACTCCTGAATGGCATCTTTTTTTCTTCAACAGTGGTCTCAAAAGCAGCTCTCAAAACATCTCATAACTATCTGTTGAATGAATAAACTAAAAGCCACACCATAAATAAAAGACCAGATGGTGAGTGTTCCTCTACAATTCTAGAAAATTTTTGCTAGCAAGGACTAGAAATTCCAGTGTGCTCTGGTCGCTAGGCCAGAGACGGTTACTGTGTGTAGGTCTGCTTATTCTATCCCCAGTTTTAAATTAAAGCAAGGAAAAGGGGTGGGCATGAAAATAATAAAGAGAGAAGGTGAACATTATTTTCTTACAAGATCTTATTCCTATAACAACAACAACAAAGATCACTGAAAGCACCCTATCCAAACACTAGCTACATTGTAGTCACTGATGCTCAGTTCTAAGGAGCCAGAGGCCTGAATTCCGGCAGGTGCAACTGTAACAACAGAGCCTGCGATGTGGGTGGGGAAATGGAGTCTTTGCCAAGATGCTCAATATCACTCGGGCAGAGTCATCCAGGAGCTCCATGTCGGCAGCATGGCTTAGGTGTGAGATTCCTGCATATGGAGTCCAGGATCCCCAGAAGAGTTGCCATTCCGAGTGCAACTCTTTACTCTCTCAGCTGAGGAGCAGCCTGTGTCTAGTAAAGGAACAACACATGATGAGAAGACATTGCTTACTTCATGAAAGTCCTTAGGATATATAGAGGGCAAAATCAAGAGAGCTCATGAATGTGGCTCTTGGGAATTTGGGACATCATAAAGAACCAAATCTGTGAATCTGCGGGAGAGAAGAAGGAGCTACAATTAAAACTTAAGTACAAAAAAGTCATCCAGGGACATTATAGCAATATATACGTGTGTGTGTGTGTGTGTGTGTGTGTGTGTGTGTGTGTGTATTCAACTAGGGAAAGGAAGGGATATCCAAGCACAAGACGTCTTTTAAGCCCTAAATGCATATTGCCAGAAAATCTTACTACTGCATGTTACAACTGGAACGCAAGTTCACAAAGAAGCAATATCTAACGTTGAAGGGAGAGATGCCAACTCACAAAGGCAATCCCGTTAGAGTTATCAGACAGCTTAGCAGAAACCCCAAGTCAGGAAAGTCAGAAATGGCATACTTCAAGCCCCAAAAGCTTAAAAAAAAAAACAAACTGCCAAAATGATTAGCATACCTGGAAACGTTATCTTTTAAAGTTCAAGAAGAATAAAGAGATGTTTATCTCTCACCTGGTACCAAAATCAACACAAAATGGATTGAAGACCTTAATACATGACCTGGAACTTTGAACTGAAGCAAAAGAACATGGGTAGAACATTTCAAAATATTTATGTGGGCAAGTACCTGCTGGAAAGGATTCCAGTGGGTCAGGCAACGGCAACAAGAATTGAGAAATGGGATTGCATAAAGTTGAAAAATCTCCTTCAGAGCAAAGTCAACAATTAACAGAGAGGAGAGACAGCTCACAGAATGGGAGAGAAATCTTTATAGCTGGCCTGATATTAGTATCTAGAACCTATAAACTCAAAAAGTTAAGCACCAAAAGTCCAAGTGCACGGTCAGCAAATGGGCAACTAAATTCAACAGATGGCCCTCAAAAGAAGAGATACAAATGTCCAACAAAGAAAATGAAAGTATATTTAACATCCGTAGCCATCAGGAAAACACAAACCAGAACTACCTTGAGAGTCCATCTCACTCCTGTCAGACTGACTAGCATCAAGAAATGAAGCAACAGAACACTAACAAAGGGGCCAAGGAAAAGCAATTTTAATTAGTGACTATAGAAATTAATATAGAGGTACCTCAAAATATAAATAAAACTAGGACAACCATACGATCCAGTATACCACTCACGAGCACACACCCAAAGGAATCTAAGTCAGCAGACACTAGAGACACCAGCACTCCCATGTCCTCTAGGGTACAGTTCACAGTGGCTAAGATATATAACCAGATTAGCTACCCAAGAGATGAATGGATAAAGTATTGGATGTGTACACAGTGGGGTTTTAGTCAGTCATAAAGTATGAAGTCTTGTCATTTGTAGAGAAATGGATGGAACTGTGGATAAGAATGTTGAATAAGAAAAGACAAACATCTTATTTCCTCTTGCATGCAGAATCTAGACTTCACACACACACACACACACACACACACACACACACATGATGGAGGAAGGTCATTGGTTAAATAAAAAGAAACTGCTTGGCTCTCATTGGTTAGAGATAGGTGGGCGGAGTAAACAGAACAGAACTCTGGGAGGAAGAGGAAGTGAGCTCAGACTCCAGTCTCGACAGCTCTCCTCTCGGGAGCAGACGCCTGAGAGAGATGCCATGCCCCGCTCCCAGGATGAAGCTCTGACCCAGGATGGACTAGGCTAGAATCTTCCCGGTAAGACCGGTTCTCACAGATTATTAGAGATGGGTTGATCGGGATGTGAGAATTAGCCTGTAAGTGCTAGAGCTAAAGGGTCAAGCAGTGTTTAAATGAATACAGTTTGTGTGTTGTTATTTCGGGGCATAAGCTAGCCGAGCAGGCGGCTGGGGTGCTGGGAATGCAGCCCCGCAGCTCCTATTACTACACACACACACCCACCCACACACACACACACACACACACACATCACGAAGGGAGAAAGGACTGTGTGGGAGAAGGAAAGAGATTAAAGAAGTGGGACAGAAGGCAGTATACTGAACATGAGGAAAATACAAGGAAAACCATGTATGAACAGGTCATGGTGAGGCCCATTTTATACACCAACTGGAAATTTAGTTTGAAAAGATTAGACAAATGCAAAAGACTGGGGCAGCAGTAGGGGGAGGGTGCTTCTATTGGGTGTAGACCAGTCTTTCAGAAAACCAAGCCAAAACTCACTTTCAAAGTCTCTCTTCCACCTCCTTGAGCAAAACACACGATGGGGATCTTACCACCGTAGTTGGAATCTGTAAAACAAGAACAAAGTCTGTTTTGGACTCCACCTTGAGGACTGAGTGTGGCAGGAAGTGGGATGTGGCAGGAAGTGGGATGTGGCAGGAAGTAGGAGGAATGTAAATGACTGTGTGTTGGTTTCCCAGCTACTCAGACCCGAATAATCACACGGAAACTATATTAATTACAAACCTGTTTGGCCTATGGCTCAGGTGTATTCCTAGCTAGCTCTTACATCTTAAATTAACCCATTTCTATTCATCTATGTATCACCACAAAGTTGTAGCCTACTGGTAGATTCTGGCATCTTTCACCTTTGGCAGCTACATGGCGTTTCCTTGAGTCTGCCTACTCTCTTTCTCTGTCTCTGTTCAAATTTCTTGCCTGGCTTTACTCTGCTAAGACATTGGCCAAAATAGCTTTATTCATCAATCAATAAAGCAACACATATACAGAAGGACATCCCACGTTAGAGGACCATCTGCTCTGAGAGCTCATGGCCTTGGCGATAACTGCTTGGATTTGACCTTGGCCCTGAACTGATAGATCCCAATGAAGGAATAGTGGTGTGTTAATACTGTCATTTGTCACTGCTTTTTAAAATGCTGAATTTGTCGCTTCATTAACATTTGTGGATTTGATGAGACTGAGTTAAAGTTTGCTCTTATTCTCTCCCTCATTTGTATAATCCCATGCTTTCCTAAGTAGGTGACAAATTTGCATAATGAGGCATTCTCTCAATGGAGTTGAGTGCAGCTATAAATAACTTCCTAAGCTGTGTCTTCATTGAAGCCAAAACAATTGAGACTGTGTCCTGTGAGGCAGTCTGTCACTAAACCACAGGACAGCCTTGCTCCAAAGCAGGACGCCTCTCAGCACCCTGTCCACAGGAAAAGAAGACACATGCAGCTTATCAGATAAGGTCTTGCACTCAGTTTCTGCAAAACCAGTGTTTTAGGTGATTCTGTTCTGGTAACCCAAAGAAGGAGCCAAAGTCAAAACATTAAATAGCTTTCCAGTTGTAACAGTCTTAACATCTCTACCCTACTGTTGAGTCTCAAACCCAGGTCAAATACCTGAGTTGCCTATTTAATATATCAGTGCTGACACTGACTGGCAGGGTCTCCCAGCATCCCTCAGGCCCTACCTGTTACAGGGTATGACTGGCATACCCAGCCTTCTACCCTGAACTCTCCAACCCAGAAGCTGGTCTACCCTTCTCCCAGAGGCTCTTCCTTATATAATGCAGCCATTGTGGTTACCTGCCCCCTTTTGTACCTCTGCCCTCATGGCTTCTACACTTCCTTCCTCTCTTTCCCCCTCTCCCTTCCCACTCTCCTTCTCTCCACATGGCCCAGCTCAGTCTGGTCATCATCTACTGCGGAGGACAAAAAAAAATGCAGGCCCATTTCCACCTTGTCTGACGGTAGGAGAGTTTGGAGATTTGACAGGCATAGTTGCACGTCCTAACTCAGGAGGTGATTGCTTGGTTCTTTTGAGATTAAGATCCATTCTAATAAGTCCATGCCTTCCTGACATGTGGTCAGGATATGCAGATGTACTTCTGCTCCTTTTTTTTTTTTTTTAATAAACATGGGTGAATTCAGGATCTCAGTCACTGGAATGCCCTCCCAATACTTTCTATGGTTTCTGTTCTGTTATCTTTTATGAGTCTTCATATTCTTTACTTATATTTCTCCAATTCCCACACCCCTACCCTGGTAAGAAGTATTTTTGCCGAGGCCGGTCCTCAACAACCTACCTAATTGCATTGCTTCTTAAATATGCATTTTCCATTAGGGGCTTCACTTTTTACAAATGCCTATAGAAAAAAAAGCCAGCAGGCTTCCTAAATGAATATGCAAGAGTGTAAGAAAGTATCTGTCACTCCCTTCAGCATGCTGAAGGACATGTCAGTGGCTCCTGCAGAGACACTCCTGGGATCCTGAAGAAAGGGGAGAAATACAAGCTCCTCTTTAGCAGTGAAGATGGGGAATCAAGAGGGCTAGCTAGCCATGCAGCACCAGCTGCCTCCACAACAGCCATGCATGCATGCATAGCTGGCCTCCAACTGTCACCATCCATGCTGGCCTTCCCATTCCTAATGACTGACCTTGACTGGTCCGCTCCGAGATGTACTTCTCCAGCTGATTCCGCAGCTTGGCTTCCACTGTGGGGTGTCCATGACATCCATTGTCCACAAGCAACAGATGGGTGTGATTGTTGTCAAGGATGTAGAGAGGGTCTCTCTTGAAGTCATCCATGATGTACTGAGCCGAGAAATATCCCTGGAAAGCACAAGGACACTTGTCTTCGGGATGCAGGGCGACATCACGACGGCCCTACTAAAGTGAGAGAACTTGTGTTTGCTGTGTGTGACCTCTGGTGACTGTACAGACAAAGAGCACCAAAATTGAAGTAGAAAAAAAGATGGTCACAAACAGCCTACTGTAAACCAAGAATGAGCAAGAACTGCGCTGTCTTGTTCATATGTATTTAATATTCTCATGACTCAAAAATAAAACACCGATCAAAAATTAAAAAAAAAGATGATGATGATGAAAACAAAGAAAATTCTCTGAAGCAGATCTAAAATAAGGTATGGCATGTTTCAAACAGTGGCCTTGTTTCAGGTTGGCTGAGCCTCCATCCTGTTCCTCCCATAGCAGCGAGCGCTACAATGATCCTGGTGAGCCTGTGTCAGAAGATGTGGCCAATGAGATGGTTGTGAATGTTTTGTTTATACAGAAGACCAAACACTGTCGCCCAGGAAAATACTAGAGAAACCAGGAAGCCAAGCGCAATATCATAAGAGTTTGCTGCAAAATCATGCTGTCATGGAAGACTGTCATCAGAAGTAAAAAGAGGATTAAAAAAAAAAATCTAGCAGTATAATTTAAGTCTCTAAAAAAACTATGTTTTCTACGGAAATGAAGATTGTAGCATATAAATGCAAATGTAAATTATACTTAATTCTAAGAGCCGTGGGTTGTTGTCATCAAGATTTTATGTGCATTTAGCTATTATCTGTACACTTCATAATTTCACACTGATCAGCATTTCCATACCGTCAAAACATCCTCAGAAGGAGTATTTTCCTACCTCTGTGGTTATTCTTCATTTTTACATGGTGATCTGTCTGGGCTTCCCTCTTTAGTGATAAATATTACTAGATTATAATATCTAGTAATAAATACTGAGTCCCAAGTATTGCTGGATATTTAGATTTATGCCAATTCTTAGGCATTACAGAATGCTTTAATGAAATCTTTGCCCTAATATCAAATTCTCTAGGGATGAATTTATTAGTGCAATTGTTGGCACTTTCCAAAAACAGTTTCATACTTGTGACAAAGCTCCGTGGAGAGCACAGATTTGACTTCTTAGGTTCCTGTACCCCCTTATTAGTCTCCAAAATGGCAACATAAACAAGAAAGTGAAGGCTGTTTTTTAAAACTAAGCCCTTAACATTTACCATCTAAATGCCTAGTGAGCCTCAGATGGAATAAGATTGCATTAAATATAGATTTCTGAACATCTAGCCCAAATCTCCTGAGTAGGACTTGGGTAGTTTCTCACTGTTTCCAAAACGTCACACCTGACACATATATCAGTAGATATCATATATCTGTAGTGCATTCTGGACATAATTTGAGGGAGGTCTGCTACCTCCTAAATCAGTTCTCTGGAAACATTTGGTAGTATGGGTCTCAGCCTTCTCCACACTGGGTTAAAGTTGGAGAACAATAATAAACCTGAATTCCTAAGAATCCGGCACCGTAGTGCAGGAGTATACCTACAGGTGAACTCTTCTGAGATTGATTTGAATCATAATTCATAAAAACAGTGCACCCAAGTCTAATAGGAGCTTTCTGGAGACCGATTTTAATGGCAAAATGCCTCCACTATTAGTTCCTGCTTTGGAACTAATAGTAGGTCTATAGGTTGTTCTCATAAGACAGGCTTTCCCACCATCTGGCTCCACTACAGAGCCCCAGCATTCGGGTCATGGCCATTGCCCTAGTCTTTCCCCCACAGAACCTTACAGGCCTCCCTGCTCCACACATACCTCATCATCACAATTCCGGATGAGGGTGTCCCTGTTGGAGACCATGCCCCATGCCGCGATGCCAATGGCCACGATGTTCTCTTCTGAATTCCTGCTGATGGTGTTATCTCTTACCACTTCACCTATGTACTTCATCAGACCGTAGTGAGTACCTCCCGTGAGAATCCAAGCACCTGTGGATGAGGGACGGGGAACGGAACTTCACCTGGTGCTGAGTAAGGTTTTGGTCCTGTGTTTCTAGATTCCTGAGGGAACCTTCCTGCCATGAGCTCCCGGATGCTGCATTGAGAGCCGGACTGTGGGATGGGAGCACATGGCGAACAAGAAGAGAATCCCAGGTCATCGGGGGTTCCTGAGGGGCATGTACTAGACAGCACAGGTTCGGTGCCCCATTCTAGATATGCATTCACAGCCTCCACAGAAGGTGCACTCAGGAGTCTCCAAAGGATTGCTTTCATGAACAGTGAATGCCTGGCTTGAGCCCATAAGTGAGCTGGGCAGTGCAACCATAGAGGGCAGTGTGCTCTCTCTCCAGACCTCACGCCGGTCAGAACAGGCTGGACCTTCCTAGCCCCAGCAAATCTGCTTTGCTTTACATAACTGTGTATATTATTACTCAAGGTTTATATCTGACGATCCTCTCAATGTCAAGCACTTTTCTGAATTTCAATGAAAAATAAAAGAAACTAAAGACCTGCAGGTTCGGGCTGTAGCTCAGAGACAAAGTGTTTTACCAGCACATGTCAGACTATGGGTTCGGATCCCAGCACCAGACAACAGAAAAATTATTTAGTATAATGGAAATGACTATTGTGTAACTTGTAGCCTAGGCAGTCCTCACTCTAAAGGCAGACCCTACCTTGAAGATACTCTCCATCTTTTGGGAAGTCCCCACCTTGAACACAGTCCCCATCCATCCTTAGGGAAGCCCCCACCTTGAACACAGCCTCTATCCATCCTTAGGGCAGCCCCCACCTTGAAGACACTCTCCATCTTTTAGGGCCACCCCCACATTGAACACTGTCTTCATGCTTAGGATAGCCCCTATCTTGAACACTGTCTCCATCCTTAGGGCAATTCCCATCTTGGAGACATTCTCCATCCTTAGGGAAGTTTCCACTTTGAGGACACTATCCTTAGGGCAGTCTCCACCCTGAAAGAAGTCGCTATTTTCTCTCTTTATCAGCTCTAGCAATAGAAGTCTTCAAAGTCCTGAGGCAGCCCTCTTCTATAGTTGTTAGAAAGACCATTCATTTGCTGTCTGTCTCCATTGTCTAGTTTCCCTGCCATATTTGACAAGGAAGAACTAGGTCATCGGTCACCTCCCACATCAAAGACCTGCTAATCCGTAAGTGCCTTGTGGCCCTTAGAAGGTTCATACCCAATTCCTAAACCAGTTCTCAGTGTTTCTTCTTAAAATAAGGTAACTGGACATGACCAACACCAAGGACTCAGGGAGTATTGCCTTCTTTGCCCTGGCTAAACTAACAGAGTCAACTTTGTAAGTTAGTTAGAAATGAGCTGTCTTCTAGGCCAAAGCCACTTACTCTGTTCACATTGTGTATGTATGATATGTGTGTATCTGTGTAATATGTGTATATGTGTGTGTATCTCTCTGTGTGTGATATATGTGTATCTGTTTGTGTAATATGTGTATATGTGTGTGTATCTGTGTGTATGTGTGTATCTGTCTGTGTGTGTAATATGTGTGTGTATCTGTTTGTGTAATATATATATGTGTGTATGTTTGTATAATATGTGTATCTGTGTGTGTATTTGTGTAATATGTGTATATGTGTGTGTATCTCTCTGTGTGTGATATGTGTGTGTATCTGTTTGTGTAATATGTGTATATGTGTGTGTATCTGTCTGTGTGTGTAACATGTGTGTGTATCTGTTTGTGTAATACATATATATGTGTGTATGTTTGTATAATATGTGTATCTGTGTGTGTATTTGTGTAATATGTGTATATGTGTGTGTATCTCTCTGTGTGTGATATGTGTGTGTATCTGTTTGTGTAATATATGTATATGTGTGTATCTGTATGTATCTGTGTGTGTAACATGTGTGTATCTGTTTGCGTAATATATATGTGTATGTTTGTGTAATATGTGTATCTGTGTGTGTGTACGTGTGTACTTGTGCTTGAGCATCTCTGCTACAGCACAGTTGCAGGTCAGGATACAACTTCCAGTCAGTTCTCTCCTGTCTGTGGGTTCCAGTATCAGACTCTGACTGTCAGTCTTGTCATAAGCTCTTTTACCTGCTCAGCCATCATGCTGGGCCCAGTGCCAGGGACTCCATGTGTTTTCTTCTACCCTATTCCCAGGGCTTGCAATCACCCTGGACAGACACTGGAAAATTCCTATCTAAGATAAAATGTGTTTCCTCAGTTCTGTCGGTCAAGGCTTCTTTGCAAAAGACGTTTCAAAAACGTCCAAGTAAACTGAACTCACTTATGAGAAAACCATCAACCAAGCCTAAGTTGAGACTCAGCCTACAAAGCTGTGGCTGTGCTCTCATGGAAGTGTGGCGATGGACGGAGACTGAGAACCAGTGCTGATGGAGAAAAACAGAAGGCTATGCAAAGTTAAAGGAATTTGGAACACAAATGGAGAAAAAAAATATGCCTTATTTAGAAAGGCCATTAAAGAGGCACAATCGACAATGGACTACCAGTGTCAGGGAATGTAAACGGTCCTTGTCCCAGGCTGGAAAATTGCAGTGAGATATGTAAAGGACTTCCCTTCTCTTCGAAGACGCAGGCCAGTGAATTGGGGGGCTAAGAGCCATGATGTCTGCAGCCCACTCTCAAATCATTTTGTCCCAAATCCTAGTACACAAATATTCATAAAATAGTCATGGAATAAAATTCATAAAAGAATAATTCACAAAGGGATATTTATAGGAGGCAAATGCAGGAAATACCAGCCATCAGTAAGTCTAGACGCATGCACTTATGTTCATCATATTACTCTTGAAACATTTCTGCAGTGCTTGAAAGTTTTTAAAATTAAAAAAGTAAAAGAGAGAACATGCTAAGTTGAGCATATGAAGTCAAAGCTACCATTATCTGGGTCACACAACCACACAGTGTTCACAGTGCTGTGGCCTGCAGCCTCTGTTTCCAAAAGCACACCAACGATCTCCAAGATTAAAGAAAAATCTAACTAAAATGCCTTTTTAATTATTTACTAGAATATTCTGACTAAAATTTATATGTGAAAATAATAAAATAAAACTACTGGGAACTATTCTTTTTGTAATTAAGATTTAACACCTTAACCCCAACTGAGAGTTACTCTGTAAATCTGCCAGCCAGAGAATCTTATCTTTCCATCTGCCTGAGAATTTTATTTAGAATAATAAGATGACAACTATATTTCTCTGGGCTGGAGAGATGACTCAGCCATTATGAGTGCATATTGCACTTGTAGATGGCTCCAATTCAATACCCAGTACCCAGAGTGCTCACAACTGCCTGTATCGCCTGCTCCAACGCCCTCTTCTGGCCTCTGTTGGTACCTACACTCACAGGCACATAACCCACAGAGACTTACATAGTTCTAGGAATATCTGGATTCTGCGAATAAGTAGCATGTGCAAACTTTATCCTCTGCACCCAAAATGCAGTGCGGTCTAGGAATAATAATCCGAGATATTCTCAGTACTAGCATACCTTTAGACTGTGCGATGTAAATCAGCCGGCTGAAGATCTTGCGCATGCGTGGCTTCAGTGCGAAGTTTTTGGCGCCACCAGTCACTGAAATGACCAGGTTGGGTGTTTTGAGGTGCCAGTGCTGGGTCAGCAGTTCATACAGAGTTTCCGAGTCTGTGTCGCAGGACAAGCGGATATACTGTAGGGGCAGGATAAAAGCGCCAGGTTTGTGTACTCTCCCCCGGGGGTGTTGGGTGGGTGGCTGCACCTGGGGCACGGGATAGGGTGTCCTAGGCAGGGCTGCTGCCAGGGCCTTACTGGAAAGTGGAAGGAAGACATGGGGGAAGAGTGACCCTGAATGTTTCCACAAGCCGGATGGAGATCCTGAAACTTTACCTGGCCCTTGAGGTATTGAAAGCTGGGTAGACAAGAGATGATGAAGGGTCCTCAAACTACCATCTTGGCACACTTGGATGAGCCAAGGAGGAGATGGGCAGCCTGTGGGAAGACTCGCTGACCCATCATGAGGCAGAGCCCCAGACAGTGGGTGGAGCTGCGTGTGCTCAGGGACTACAAATACAGAGCTTGGGGACTCATAGGGTCAAGGTCCAGACATCCAGCCTATGGATTGAGCTATCGTAGAAACAGAATATGGGAACCCTTGGGGGAGACCAGTTTCTAATGGAAAGACCCTTGTAAAACTCATGGATATAAAGAAATGTCGCCTTCATTGGAGATTACAGTATATTGTCAGGGACCAAAGGCCCCAACATAGAAAACTATTTTCCCTAAGTGGGCCTGTATGGAGGCGCGAGAAATAACCAGACCCAGTTCACACGGTCATCGCGGAAGGGCATCTCAGGCTTCTCTCCATCCTGAAGAACTACCCCCTACAGTATATCCTTAGGGATGCTGCCCCAAGCTACTCACAAAGGTATTCTCCCTTCCTCTAACAGGCTCAGGATGTCACAGGGACCCATGACGTGGCTCCACCACAGCTCCAGCCATGATGCCACCCTTACCTACTGAGTTTTCAGACTGAGCACAGTCTAGACGCTGTCTTCCGACTTTTCCTGCAGTGGTGTGGGCAATCACCCATCCCCACCTCCATGCTACTGAAACAGCTCAAGGCGACCAAGGTGGCCCAAGCCCTTAGCACATATATTAAAGCAGAACATGGGGGCTTACCTTGCCTTTCTTCCCCAGAGTCTCAAACTGAATGTCACCAAAGGCGTCTGTCGGAAACTCCTTGGTATGTTTCTTGTAGTTCCACTTCTCGTTTTCGTTGATCTGGGTGCCTTCGATGTGCTGGTTCTGGGCATAGCCACACTTGCAAATGCTCTCCCTGGGGAAGGAACAGATTTCCGTCTGCTCAAATGGCTTGTCACATCTTAGGATAAACTACGCACTCTAAACTTCAACCGGCACAAGAAATGCTATCCTCGTCTCTTACTCCCAGGCTATTTCCCTCATCTTGGCTGATTGTCTAGAAAGGAGTTTCATGGTTTGTTCCTGTTGCTAATTATCTGTTTGTCAATGAGCTTTGCCCTGTGCTGGGAGCAGAGAGGCAGAGAAGGACTCCTGCCCTGCATTAACTGTGTGAGAAGCCATGAAGCTGGTAAGAGGTGGAACTCAGGTATCTGGGAACCAGAACTCAGCTTCTCATGTGAGTCTGAGCTAACTCACAGCGACATACAGGCATTAGTGCTTCAGTGCCAACCTCACCGGATGCCCAAGCAAGTTGTGCTCTTCTGAGGAGGGGTAAGCTCTTCCCATGAGCTATGCTCATGCCTGGTAGGGGTCCAAAGTTCTCCAGAGCTTAGAAACCACCATTCTCTACCAGATATTCACTGCTTAGATGACTTTGGGTCAGTAACAGCTCAATCTAGACAAGGAAAACTGCTGTAGTGAGCATTAGGTTTTCCCACTGAAAGTACACAGAACTCAATCCTAACTGTCCACTAGGGGGCACACGTGCATGATGGGAAGCTGAAAGAGGATTAAAGACACCGTGGTAAGTAGTGCAGCCTATCCTCCCCTTCTAGAATACCCCGTAATCATGCAACAAGTGTCTGAGAACACTACTTATTATTAAATAGCATCTGCAACACCCAAGTTGAAACTGATGAAATTTCCTGCCCCTCAAGTTGCCTGGCATCTCCTGGAGTGGCTAAGTAGAAACTTGGCAAAGATCACACAGAACCAACCAAATGCCTCCTTTTGTCCTGGCACAGTCCCTCTCCTGCCCGGCTTGCTGTGAGGGCTGGAAATGACGCAAAGCGTCAAGTGAGCCTGGTGCACAGCGCATGCTCTGCCAAGGAGACCTTCAGCTCGGGGTGGCGCACACATGCAGGTCAAGAAACAATGGAGGACTAACAACCGAAAGAAGTAAAAGTGCGGTAAAAAATATCTGCAAACACGGTCTGTGTTTGACCAATTCCATAGTCGAGAAGGACAGAGCAAAAGAACAATGGAGCCAGACAATGTCACCCAACATCATCATAGATAACCAAAAGCTCAATGTCCTATTTTATATCCTTGGCCCAAGGCTAGGAAGACTAATATCACTCACTGTTACCAGTGTCTCCATCCATACAATAAAGTATATGACCTGAGATGTGGACCTACTCCAGGGCACGGGGACAGTGCAGAAGACGCACCCACTTCCAGCATCCTTGTACCCTACATACTCAGTCAACTGCAGCAAAATTTCCCCCAACAGTCAGAGCCAGAGAAAGATATGTCAATTGAAAAGATCTTGTTAAGGCTGTTTCTGGCTGGATTCTATACTTTATATTCGCGATCCAAAAATATAATGGCCTCTAGCAAACACTGTGTGAACGGATGAGCAAAGAGACATGGCATTAATCAGTCTTCTTATAAATAATTTATATCTGCAACCGTTCTCAATGATTTGTGTAAAATAGGTACTTTAGATTTCCTTCTAGGATGCATGGATGCATACACATCACTATTACAGACCAGAGGAAGCGCTGTCTTTCAAGGTCTTCACCACCACTGAATTTGTCTGGCATAAAGCAAAATGTAGGTCAAGCCCTACCTATGGCAGTCGTATTTTCATTTATGAGGGGATAGGGGTGACTTGTGTTTTTGTTACTTTTTCTAAACACTCAGCAGAAGAAGCTCACAGCTCAGTAGACAAGGGTCGTGAGCACTGCAGAAGTCAGTGATCTGTGGCCCAACCAAACCACCTGTTTCTACTGCCGGGAAGCGGTGACCTCAGCTGCATCCCAGGGGTCCAGGGCTTCTCTGTTAACAGCCCTCCATGTGAAGTACTGAAGCCAGACTAGGCACCAAAGCCCCTCAAGGGAGAGGCTACCGTGAGGAGCAAACAGGAATGAGGAGCAAAGGGGACTCCTCAGGAATCCACACCAGCAGCTGCTCCTGTCCAGGAAACTGTTGCTGTTGCCTCCTCTTTTAGGTCCCTCCTGGGGAGCACACACTTGACCTGGGTCCTAAAGAGACTGCTGTTGCTCCCCAACACCATCTGTACAGTTGTATGGGGGTGACCCTGCTTATGCACCAGAATCCTGAGCACCTATCCAGTCACCAGACCCATGCATAGTTTTGACACTGGTGTTCCTTTCTTGGAAATTTGGCAAGAAAATCAGAATTGGGATCAGAAGGTCTGTTCTCATCTCTTTCCAGGCCACACAAAAGTCCTGTGGGTACTAAGAAGGAATGGAGAAAGGGACAGACAGGACTTTCTGAGTCCCCACAAACCTAGTCACGGTTTCTAACTACTCAAGGGACCCGACCACTGCCTGCTTTTAGATGGCATTCCTGTCTCCTCAAAGCAAGCTCTGTTTTTTTTTTCAGTTCAACTCGTTGAACTCTATAACAGGACCCCTAATGACTGCAGAGTGTGAGAACTGTCCTGGCTCAAAGTATCTGTGAAAATAATAAATGTTTTTCTAAAATTATAAAAAAAAATCGAGCTACAGACTAGATCCTGTACCATCGAGTGTTATTGCCTCTGTTTGCACAGCTCCCAAGGGGCTTCACTCAGCTTAGCCAAGGAAACAAGAGCCTGCTGGGACTGAACCATTTCCATAACCCTTTCTCTTACGGAGTCCTTGGGGACTTCCCAAGACAAGGCTGCTTCCCATGCCCCTCTCTTCTCTGTCACTGCTGCCTGCCAATCCACTACCCTTTGGGACATGTCCCCAGCCACCCAAGCTCACAGTAGAGTAGCAGATGGTCCACTTGCCCTTGCCATAGCTGAAGATAGAGTCCTGAGCCCCTTTCCCTGCCAAGGATAGGGGTACATCTTAAATGATCTTTTGACCAAAGAAGTTGTCTGGCTCCTTTGTGGGTTGGTAGCCCTCCAAGAACCAATCTGCATGAATTGTTTAGAAACAGGGAAAGGGCCTTGCCAGGAAAGAATTGGGGGTATAGACACGTGGAGGAGGGGCAGGGATAGCAGAGAGGAGAGCTGGGAAGGGTTGGGGGTGGGGTGTGGGGCACTGGCTTTCTAATTCACATCCTCAAAACCATAGTTCCGAATCCCACAGAGCTACACACATCTTTATTGCGGCCAAGAACCATGCGTGGCTATTTCATTTTGTAGTTGAGCAAAGAATGATTAAAGCTGGTAATTCAGTTCCTTGCTGACCCTAGCAACATTTCAAAAGATCAACAGTCACATGACATCGCCATGTTGATAGCTCGATACACAGAGTTTTGTTGCAGAGAGCTACAATTGCAGTGTCCCTCCTGTTTCTACACAGGACTCAACATGGACCAAGAAGTGAGAGCCAAAGAGACAGTCCGGACCCATGGGAATCCCACTTTAAGAGTGGCAGCAGGTAGCTGCTGGGCTCAAAGGTGCCGGCGGAGGAGAAGTTCCAGCATCCTCCCCCAGGGACCACTCAAGAAACAGATATCCACTAGGGATGAAGGCGAAGGTCCACCTGGGCTTAGCACACACATGGCAACCCCAGGGTCTCAGCGGTGATCTGTGTCCTGTGTCATCTAGCTTGTCCAGTAACCACAAAATAGGGAAGGGTGTCAGTGTTTCTTGCCACTTCGAGTCCCTTGTCTTGTAACAGACAGGGTCAAACCCATTCATTTTCCTTTCTGCTCATTAACATCATGAAAGACCCCTGTGTGTTGGGTTTGTGGGGCCTCTCTTGCAGGCGGCTGAACTCCCAAACACAGAAGACTTGATGTAAAGGAGCACCCACTTAGAAGGGAAGTGCCCAGGACCACAGCCCTGAGGAAGGGACATTCAGATAGTGCAGGAGCCTATGGGTAGAGCTGCCTGCGAAGTGTTAGGTAACAGGGTGGACTCCCAGGCTCATGGGAGCCCTGAAGGGAGTGACAGTCCCTCTCAGTGACTTTACCAACTGCGATATGGCCAGAGCTAAGAGACAAGAGAGAAGAGCGGAAGCAGGGAATTCTGCAGGCATGTCAGAGCCATCTTAATCACACGCCATCGGGGACTTTAGAGAGGCAACCATCCCCAGTAATGAACCCAAGGGCTCACTGTGCCAACAGTCGCTGGCTGTGCTCGGAAACACAGAAGCCAATGTGCACGACAGCTGCAGCTTACATGGCCTTGGAGTCTCTGGTGAAGAAGATGCACTCTCGCTTTTTAAAATTTGCCTGGATAAAATCCACCAAATCCTGTTAAAAAAAAAATATGGAGAGTAATATGTTACTCGTGTGTTCTCTCAGATCTGCTGGGATTAACGAATACTATCCATGTCCTAGCCCTCCCCAAAGGTTGTCATGGCGTCCTTTTTGTTTCTTTTAGACCACCCTGAGTTTATTTTTAATGACACATACATTCAAACTGTTTAACTAAATGAAAATGTTTCCCAAAGTTGCTTAGCATTGTCTTGTGGATAAATTGGCATCACACACACACACACACACACACACACACTCATACAATGTTTTTCTCTCTTCACAGTTACTAGGGAACAGAAGTGTTGGATGATAGTTTGGGATTAGAAAAAAAACTATCTGTGCATATTTTCAGCCCTCTTCTGCCTGATTTTGTTTTTTAAAAAAAGAGATGTTTTCTAAAATGCCCTTTATTTGTATTTGCTCCACTCTGGGCAAGGTGGTTAGGTGTAACTGGGAACTAGTAATAAGAACCATCCCAGGCTTTTAGAAACCAAAGATGTCTCTTACGTTGGCAGAGAAAGACATTTGGAAACACTCATATTCCTCACAAGGAGAGAGTTTGCAATCAATAGTTATGTATCATAAATAGTGACCAAGATACAGAAGGACTGTCAATCAACAGAAACAAAGCAGATGGTCTGATGGAAAAACAGCAAGAGACAGAGAAGTTATGGAAAAAAAGGAGCCCACAGGAAAGTCCTACATACATAAAATACATAAAAGCTCTACCACTTTACATCTACCTACCAGATCAACAAAACTTAAATCAAAAGGACAGTTGCCAGCCACTGGAGATGAGGAGGAAGGCGAAGGACCTCACACTCCCAGTAGGTGAGAGAGTAAATTGGTACCACTCAGGATATATTACACGTGAAGCCATTTCTCCGAGGACCCATTAGAGAATGGTTTCCCAAGAGCCTGTACTCTCTCAATCCATGGAACTCCATCCTCGGAAATGTCCAGCCCTGATGCAGTGTGGCTCCTAGGAGCTTCCCTTCCACAGGAGCCCCAGTCAATTGCAAGTCATCAGGTGCTGGCAGCTGATGTACTCAGACCACTTCCCCTGTTGGTGGCCTCACAAGACAGGCTAGCTCTGAAGCCAGCCCTAACTTCTTGTCCCCTACATAAGAGTCAGCCAGACATGTGCTACAAAAGGCGGGCTCCTCCCTGTTTGGAGTTTGCCATGCATTCCCAGCGCCTGCACTGACAACTACTCTGGTATCAGGCACTGGGGACCTTCGCCTCCGTTCTCACCCTTTGAATATGAGTGGGCCCCATAGATCTCGTTGTTCAAACCCAGACCCATTGAAGGAGACATTCCATCTTCAACTATCAGCCCTCAAAGGGCATTGTGTTTCTCAGATAGATCCAGTGTATACATCCAAGAACACTGGGTGGTATTGGTCCCAGCATCAAATGCCAGAAACCTAAGTATCGGTCTCTTTGAGTCTGGGTAAGCAGAAGCCCATAGCGGAGTTCCACATAGCGGAACAAAGAATAGACAGCGGCTATATGCATCAACATGGACCAATCCCCAAAACTAGTGATAATAAAACATAAAGAACCCACAAAGGGGCCTTTGTCGAGCCCAGCTGTGCCTGTATCCAACAGAGACAAAGCCAAGCCCCACAGGCAGTCCCACAAAGACTAGGTGACACACAGTTCAGGAGAGTGCCTGCGACCTGGGGCAGGAGAAGGGCACTCTGAAGCCTCCGCTTCTCAGTCTGGAGGTGGCTCCCATGTCATGGTGATGACGGCTTCTGGAAGCTTGGAAGATCCATTCCTCTATGTGTATTCCTCAGCAAAATTTAGGATAAACGCAGCTCCTCTGCTCCTCTGCAGAGAAGGCATTGGGAACTCTGTGCTGCCCAGTTTTCCTCACAAGAATGTTTATCCACTTAGATGATTCTGAGTGCTCCTACCATGGAGGACAGAAACTCAACAGCTGTATGGGACATGGAATGATCCTAGAGAAGAGGGTGATTTTTTTTAAAAAATAATTTCTTGCTAATAATTCCCTTGGAAGGTGTACTTTCTGAGAAGTGTGTGTGTGCTCAGGAGGCCAACAGGAAGTGAGAAGTCTCAGCCTTCATCCCACTTCTGAGGGCACTGGTGCCTGAAGTCAAGGGTTCTTTGGAGAGAGCCTTCCAGTGGTGCTGCATTGCTTGGGGTCAAAGGAAAAGAAGGAGGAGAGCAAGGTCAGAAAATTCTGGAGAGGTCCCCATTGCCTGTGTCCACTCTGTCATGGAGCAGCCCTAAAGTGAGACATGGGGACAGACTCTAAGGGGGGGGGGCACTTAGTCCTAGGGGTGTCAAGATGAGGGGTGGCACCTGAGGCTCCTGAGCACCCCTTCCCTCCATGCCAGCCACAGGAGGTAGGTTTCAGCTGGAAGAAGGCACAGGCTTCTGTAAAGGCACACGCTCCCTTTTTTGAGTGTTTTGACAGCTCATGGATCCACACAATTGACCAATCAGATGAAAATGATGGCATGAGTGGTACCCTGGCTCTCCCTCCCCCACCCCCGTTCCTTCTTCTTTATAAATCCAGCTTCTACCTCATCACTTAATGCTGCAGTCAGTGAAAGCCAGACTTCCAACTACGGTGTTCTGACAAATCAGAGTGTGAGTCACACCTGACAGGATAGAGAGCAGGCGGGAGGGGACCACGTATTACAGGAGTGAAACTGAATAGAGTTAATGTCCTGCTGTCCCACTAAGCTGAACCCACTAAGAAGCCACGCCCTGTCGGCAGTGTCAGGGCTGGTTCAGGATGAGGACAGATGGGCCAGAGGAAGCAACCAGGAGGCAAGAGCAACAGAACCGAGTCGAGGACACGGACATCACAACTCAGTCCTGAAGCCACAGGGTGAGAACGAGAGCATCAATCATGAGTAGTGAAATCAACACTAAAAACATGATTTAAAAAATTGAAGGGACTGAGTGACTCCTGACTGCCCAGCCCCAGATGGGGCATCTGCAATACAACCCCTACAGCTAACACTTGGACATCACAGAATGGGGAGGAGAGAGATTGTCGGACCCAGAAGTCCGGAATGTCTGATGCTTGATAATGTCTTCTGAGCAGGATGGAGATGTTGCTCCCAGGAACTCTCGACAACACGGCTGCCTGCACAAGACCTGCGAAGTCCACACTAACTGACATGCCAACAGGAATGGAGGAAAATTTCACAAAACCCCACCGGGAGATAAAGAGCTTCAGGGAGTCAGCGGCTGCCTGGGGGAGGGCGATCTATGCAAATAAGGTGATAGCACAAATGAGACTGGGTAGGTTTCACACACACACACACACAGAGAGAGAGAGAGAGAGAGAGAGAGAGAGAGAGAGAGAGAGAGAGAAATCAACACAGAAGAAGAAGAAGAGGTCTGAATTCAATAAGGGGTTGTGGGTGGGGACACAATAGGAATTGGAGGGAAAAGAGAGGGTATGCAGAAGAAACAATTATAGTGTATTCATATGAAATCCTCAAATTTTACCAGAAAAAAAAATGATTTAAGGAACACGGTATTTAAATTTTTTTAATGACTTATTTAAATGATTGTCATCTTAAAAGAGAAATGCTTGAAATACAATACAGCGATGAACACACTTCTACATTCTACCAAAAATGACTCATAAAACACATACCAACCAGGACACGAGAGAAAACGTTTTATAGAGAGCAAACTGGTCACTAGATAACCCTCATCGCGTCAAATGGCCTCAGTGTGGACTTACACTGTCACTGTAGGACACATTTGTGCTCCGAGACACACTGGAGTAGAGAGTCCGGGTGCTGCCCAGAGCCCCGTTCCTGCGGCTCCTCATGCTGAGCCTGGCTCCCTCGAAGGACATCTTGCCTGTGAAGAGTGGAGGACAGGTGGGTTATAGATAGTAAAGGGGCTTCCCTGGAAACATGTGCCCTGGTGCCCCTTCCTTTCATCGCCGTGGGCAGTGTACCGTGTCCTGTCTGGCTCACCAGCTTCATCAATCCTGTACCTATTACGTTTCATTCTCTAGGACCCAGCAAGTGTTTCTGCCCTACAGCACTATGGTCTTCAAGCCTCAGTGCTGCCACCCTATGGTAGCAACATGCATGGCAACATTTTATGACAACAGCATTCTTGGGACAAACTGTCTGACCCACCCTAGAGTACCACCCACTGTGTTTGCACTAATTGTCTACTTGGTTGCTGAATATGGAACGGCTAAATTAAACAATATTAAAAATTACTATGTGCATATCTCTGTCTGTCTCTGTCTCTGTCTCTCTGTCTCTCTCTGTGTTTGTGTATTGGTGGGGGAAGGGTGGAGGAGTGTTTGTAAGCATGCTCATGTCCTTGGAGCATCTTCTACCCTGAAGCAACCATCACAAGACTCATATATTGTTCTTCCTGGCCTCCATTGGCTCAGTGAGGCCCAAGCCATGCCTATCCTGTTCACCACTAGAACTCTAGGACCTGGCAATGTATAGGAAGCATACCATATACACGTCCATCAGATGAGCCAGCTGGGTGACTCAGTACTCCCTCCCAAACCCTCCAGGACAACTGCCATGCCACCTCTTGTAGCCTCTGCGTGTAGAAACACCTAGCACACAGAGCTGACCCAGCATTCACTTACATAGTGCTTCTGATCCCACAGCTCCGTGGCCTTGACTCCCCATCCAAGATCCACGTTCCCAGACCAGCACAGACTCTCCTGAGCCACAGACCTGGGAACTGTCCTAGAACCCACTCAGTGTGCAGAGCAAACTGGTTAAAGCACTAAGTGCCTCTTTTACTCCCCCCCCCAGGCATTTCAAAGAGCTGCACGGAGTATTAATAGGTACTTCATATACATTACTGCACAACCGCAAATCAGTCCTGCCATGTATTCGAGATGCCTCCCATACAGCAAATTGCTTCTGAATGGGGCCCAGATGGTCGGGAAGCAATTTTATTTGCTTTGCAACAAGAAGCTCCACCGCTCTGCAAATGAAAAGGTGTGTTTTTGCATTGGAGACCACATCCCTGCCAAACCATGGAAGTCGTGCAGCTGACTGTACTGTCTCGCTTCTTTCAGGCATTGGTCTCTGACCCATGTCTGAGGTTAGCTGATAATGTGGGCCCATGTGATCCAGGCACTTTCAATCGTGTCCCATGGGTCACATGGTACAGGTACACATGTTTGTTGATCCTCTAGACACATTCCGATGTGAAAAACGAAACAAAACTTTTGGAAGAAGTCCCAAGAGAAAAGACTGGAAGAGAGCTCCTGGGGTCCTGGAGAGGGTCTGGAAGAGAGAGCCCTAGCAGAACCACAGGGAAGGAAAAGAGGCTTACACTCACCCAAAGGAGAGGGAACTGGAAAGTCTGACAAAAACCAGAAAGACCAGAAGGAAAAGAAAGCCGAGCCTTGGAAGGGGCAGCAGCATGTCCAATCAATGACCACCCCCAAAAACCTAACCACATTCAATAACCCTGAACCTGCTAGAAAAAAATGGGCCAAAGACTGACATCTAAATCCATGACAGGTAATACAACTTCTAATCAAAGTAAATATTGTTAAGCCTCCTTGTAATCCAACCGAAAGAGTTCATCAATAATGAGGCACCAAAGGGAGGTTTGTGGATGGCAGTATTGTCTGTTTGGGAAGAGGGTGAGGGACAGACACATTCAGACAGTGGGGGTGAGGGTCAGGGGTGGAAAGCAGGGTAACAACTGCTTTAGTTCCTGCAAAGTCATTGGTGGTGACAGAGCAAACTTAAGTCTTGCAAACAGTAAAGAAAACATTAAAAATGATCGTTACTGGCTTCAGGGAACCTAGATAAAAGAACCAGAAATATGTTAAGAAGTTAGACTTAGTTTTCATCAGCAATGCATCCAAAGGATGGCCCTACACCCGTGAAAGTACTGGCAGCATAGCATAGGCTCAGTGAGAGTTTTTTAAAGTACATGAAGTTGGGAGGGAACTGAGAGGGAAGGGTGTTGGAGAGGAGAGTGGGGGTGAATCGATTAAACATACCCTATGAGTGACACTCTCAAACAGTAAAAAGTTGCTCTCCCAGGGCCTGAAGAGATGGCACAGCCGGCAAACTGCTTGCCTCTAAGTGTGAAGACCCAAGTTTAGGTCCCGGGAAGGCACATGAAAAAGCTGCCCGTGGTGGTGTGTGGCAGTCACACCCAGAGCAAGATACCCAGGCAGAAACAAGCAGCTCTTTGGTGAAGTCCCAGGCCGATGAGACCAAATAGAAGGTGAAACACGTAGTAGCATTTGACTTGTATTTTAATAAATAAAGCTTGCCTGAAGATCAGGAAGTAAAACAGCCCCACTGGTCAGCCTTACAGATCAGGCAGTGGTAACGCACATCTTTAATCTCAATAGCCACACTAGTTTGCCACAGAAACCAGGCGGTGTACGCCTTTAATCCCAGCCCCTAGAGAGAATTATAAAATGGGAGGAAACAGTTTTCAGACACAGTCTCATTCTGAGATTCCTGGAGGCAGGATTGCCATTTCATACTGAGGTCGAGGTAAGAACCAGTGGCTGGCTGCTTTGCTTTTCGAATCTTCAGGGTGAACCCCAATTTCTCTCTCTGAGTTTTTATTAATTGTTCTTCAGAAACATGCCTGAAGATGGACACCACAGACTGTCCTCCGGCGTCCACATGTGCACCACCACACACGAGTGTGAATTTCTGTGTGTATACACACACACAGTTATGCTTGGAAAAAGTTCAATAGTGAGATTTTTGCCACAGGAAAAACTAGAAACAACATGTTTCCATCACCAGCAGAATGGCCGAGACAGGCGTGTACTGGTGATATGGGAAAATCGCTAGGGCTTCTTGCACGTAGGAAAAGATCAAGGTGAAGGAAGTAACAAAAAAAATTTTTTTGATCTTACACTTGTGCTTAAACACTGCCCCTGGGACCTTGAATGAATCCTTCCAGACAGTTTCCCTATACATGTAAGTTGGGTAGCATGCTTGCTGTCAAGGCAACTATCAAATACATCACACAAAGCACTCAAAAAACATGCGGATCCAGATCCATCGAAGTGCTAGGCATAACTCTGTGTGGGTGAGGGTGTGGGTGGGTGGGTGTGCATGATTTTAATTTTATTCTTTAACTTTTCGTGGTTTCCCATATTAAATACATCATGTATGTCACCTGGAAAAAAGTCTTTAATGAAAAGAACAGCATCTTGGAGCTGGATAAAGTGAAGACAGCCCCTGACCTGAGCCGTCTCCTTCTCCTCTAGGAGACAGGAGGTGAGAGAGTGAAGATGGCCACACAAAGGTCTCTGTGTCCGGAGCACCTGGAGAGGAAAGCGGAGTTGGAGGAGAGATGGTCATTATGGGTCTCTTTGCTCTAAAGAGGTACTATCAATGTGAGTCTTGGGAAAGAAAACTAACAGATCACGGGAGACCCAAGTCCAGGGTAAATGCTAGACTATAATAATGTTAGCAATCAGTAAATAACGGTACAGGGACCAGAAGGCATCTCAAGGGTAGATGGGAGAGATGAGAAACTGAAAATAAAATGGTTGAAGAGAACCCCAAGTCTGTTCACGAACATAGCTTTTGGGGGCTCACTCAGCATCCAAAAGTGTAACTTCAAAAGAGTCCCCTCGGGGGCCCCTCTCCATATTAATAGGAGCAGAGGTTTTTTTTATTTGTGGTTCCATAAGTTTCCTTTTGCATAAGGATAAAGATGTAAACATCTGCTCTGCAGCCCTTGGTCCACTCTGCCCATTTGCTCCGGTCATATAACTGCACAGGTGGCCAGAGGAACTTCTCTCGTCTCTTGAAATGGAGAGGGAGTCACTACTTCGCTCAAGGAAAAACCATACAGAGAACAGAGCTCCAAAATTTAAAGCTGATGCATTTGTTCATGCCAGCCTGTCCTACAACTGGGTATTAAACCTTCACATAGAACTTGAAAGACAGGATTCATGACCGCAGAGTTCTAATACAGTACGACACCATTGGCATAACATACCCATGCTGTCTGATCTGCCAGCTCTTTTTTAAAAATTTTTTTGTTTGTTTTTGAGACAGGGTTTCTCCATAGCTTTTTTGGTTCATGTCCTGGAACTAGCTGGAGCTAGACCAGGCTGGCCTCGAACTCACAGAGATCTGCCTGCCTCTGCCTCCCGAGTGCTGGGATTAAAGGTGTGCGCCACCACCACCCAGCTGATCTGCCAGCTCTTGAGGGCTCAACAGAAATGCCTGTTGGAGGCTGTATCTTTCTATAGGAGGTACTGATGTTCTACCATCTAAAACACTTCTGTAAATGTAAGCTTCAATTCCGGGGCTTCTTGGCTTATCTTTTGCACCACAAGAGTGTATGTCTCTAAATCATGGAACTCTGGAGAGAGGTAGGACAATGAAGTAAAGAAAAATGACAGACACTGCCGAATGTCAGCCAACCCACCAAGATGACCACCATGACTAAGACTTCACTAGGAAAACAGCACAGAAAGAGTCCTGCAGGACTGAGTGGTAACTTTTGTTAAGGATGGGTTCACTTTGCTCTTATGCTATTCTACCTCTAAAGCTGGGGAGCTGGCTCAAACATTAAAAGTACTTGTTGTCCTTGCAGAAAACCTGGATTCAATTTCCAGGGCCAGGGTCACAACCATTTGGAACTTCAGTTCCAGAGGAATCTGATAGCCTCTTCTGGCTTCCACAGGCACTGCACACATGGAGTGCACGTACATTCATTCAGACGTACACACATACACATAAATAAAAGTCAGACATACACACATACACATAAATAAGAGGTCACGAGGATAGGAACGAAACATAAAAGTTCCGGTGTCCTTCACTCCCAGGATTCATGGAGAAATGGAAGACTCTCTTTCCC